GGTGAAAGCTAACGTACGAAATCAGAGGGCAGCACATGGTCGATCGCGCGACCCTTCTCGTAAGCAATCTCCCAACTCATCTCTGTTCTCGACCTGCAATATGTTATGATATGAGTGTTACACGATTATTTGAGTTATTTCACGTGATTACGTGGACGTTTTCGAAGGAAAATGAAGCCAACTGGGCATTAGGTACTCGCAGACTGCAAGTCCGAACGTATGCGCATTTAACTGATTTGTGGCTTGTTTTGCGTGAAGACTCGCGCCTTTGGAGCTTTCAATGTTCTCAGTGAATCTTATGAAGTATTGAAACTGAAGGTCTTTTCGTTTTGGTTTTCTGTATTTTTGGTTTAACTTTTGAGGACTGTCTTAACTTTAATAAAGTTATAATGTCTGGATCTTCGGTGGACGAAGAAGTTCGGTCACCCGATATCTTTTCCGATTCAGGAAGCACAGCGAATACGTCTAATACCTTGGAGGAATGTATGTAGAATTTTATTTGACTTTTTGTGATTTGAGAATGCGTTTTATAGTGAAAATTATTCGTACGTTATAGCTGCAATGTCTGTGGATTGTAATGAACCGGAGCCAACGACGGATGTACCCGAATGGAAAGGAATTAGTATGGATGATATTTATAAAGGATTTGGACCATTTGGTTGTCAACAACATCCATCAATTTCTCCTTCTTCGACACACGTTGTGTTAATACAAGTAAGACTGTTTTAGGATAATATTGAATTTTTACATGATGTGATCTGTATTGAAACTAATTCGAGATATCAAGTAACTCCTCCGTCGTTATAGTAAACACAGCGCGATAACATGTTAAATATTGTTTTTATAGCTACCATTACCTACACGTGGGCTACCAAAACCATATCCTTTTCAGCAAAAAGATAAGTGGTGTCAGGGTTATGTGCGAATGCCTCATTCTGCCCATAGTCTTTATCCTGTAGCTCAAGTAAGTGAATATATTTAACATGTAATGATGATTGTTTCTTGAAAGTATTATATCATTTAGCTACAGACAAATTATTTCTAGGCTAATGGAAGCAATGCATTTCGTTCCCGATGGGAAGTAATTCAAGAGGCATTACTTCAAAACTTTGTTTCCGTCTCTCAAATGGAAGCTGCCATTCTATCGTACAATAATAAATATGTTCAGCGGTGGGATTTTGCAGCATTGCGTCATTTCTTCTCACAGGTTAATCTTATATTCTTTTAATATAAGTATAACTATGTCAAGCTTTAATTTGGTCGTTTAAAGAAATTAATCTTTAGGTTGTAGATGAAGAGGAGGCTACTCATTTTTTCAAGGAATTATTCCCAAAAATCGTACAACTTGCTTTACAACTTCCTACATTGGTGACTGGAGCCATTCCTCTTTTAAAAAGACACACAAATGGGTCCATCAGTCTCAGTCAAATTCAGGCAGCTTCCCTCCTTGCCAATGCATTTTTGTGCACCTTCCCTAGACGCAATTCAACCAATCCGCAATCAGAATATGCAAAATATCCATATATCAATTTCAATAGGTAATGTAAAATATTCAATTAATTTATTTTGTTGCTTCACTGCAAAGATACATTCGTTTTCATGGCTGTTTTGTTTTAGATTATTTTCAGCTTTTCGAGAAGGAAGATACAATTCATCTAAATGTGTGATGGAGAAATTAAAATGCATCTTTCACTACTTCAGGAGGGTAACATCCAAAGGTGGAATATAGACCTGTATCTTTGATTGACTTGAAGAATTACTGGGCTAACACACCGTTATGATTTTTCCATAGAGCAGCACCAGAAGGTATTATAACTATACAACGACGTTATATTCCGAAAGAAGAATGTCCTAGATGGGATCAACAGGAGTGCAAATTACCACTATTGCATATAACCAGTAAAGGAACCATTGAGACCGAAGGTGCAGGTCTCTTACAAGTGGACTTCGCAAATAAGTAAGCTACTTCACTGTTTAAAGTGTACAATATTTAAAAATGATATTTATTTGTCAGGTATGTAGGTGGTGGAGTTTTAGGAACTGGTTGTGTTCAAGAGGAAATACGTTTTGTAATATGTCCAGAATTGATGGTAACAATGTTGGTTACTGAAGCTTTGGATGATACCGAAGCTCTTATTGTAACTGGAGTGGAACGATACAGTAAATATAAAGGCTACAGTAGTAATTTTGAATGGGCTGGTGATTTTGTTGATGAAACTCCAAAAGACAGTAGCGGACGTAGGAAAACGTCAGTCGTCGCTATAGATGCTTTGTACTTCAAACATCCACATATTCAGTATAATACGAGTAACATAATACGAGAATTGAATAAGGTTGCAAATGTTGTATAAATTATTTGTATGAACCTTTTGCCTTGAATAAGTCGACGTCAATGCATTCTCTTATATGTATCTAGGCATATGTGGGCTTCAGTTGCTCCGAAATGCACTCGGACAATTTACCTGCCATAGCTACTGGTAATTGGGGTTGTGGCGCTTTTCATGGAAGTCCCCAATTAAAGGTATTATTGCAACTAATGGCTGCTGCTGTTGCTGGTCGACCTATGGTGTACTTTACTTTCGGAGATATGGGTCTCAGAGATAATGTGGCTGCAATGTATTGGCATTTGATTGAAAATAATATAGATGTTGGTAAGAGAAGAATCGTTTTATAACATGTATTTTAAAAACTAAACTTTCCTTTCAAATAATGCCAACATTTTTCTTTTAGGTCGTTTATTCCAACTACTATCTCAATACCGTAGATCTTCGGCAGAAAATCATCCGGATTTTTACCGTTTCTTATATAACAGGAGCAAAATGAAACCTATAACAGAATATTTAAAAAAAACAGATCAGGTTGACTTAAAGGACCAATTGCCACAAAAAGGTCCTACAAAAACCATTGTCTCTGAAAAAAGTGTAACGCTGTGGGCCTCAAGGGCAAAACAAGCAGAAGACAAAAAACAAGAAATGTTGGAAAAGTGGTTAGAAGAAATTGAAGATGACAGCACAGAATGTAATACAACAAATAATGTAAAACAACAAAATCAAAGTTCTACAGATAATCAGGGTATAATAGACTTAAAGGAACATACCCAATCGTTAGACAATACTCAAAAAAGTCACGCTAACGGCACTCATAAAAAACAAACTGGTGATCATAAAAATAAATTTTCTTCGTCAAAGGAAACTAAGAAATCTTTCTTTTGGGATGACGATGAAGAAGAGAAGATCCAGAAAAAAAGTGACAAACCAGATGGACTTGATATTTTCGATACCTTGAAATGGATGACTGAAAAAGAAATATCAAAAACTGACAGTAAAAGTAACGTGCCAGAAACAACTAATATAGTAGATAAAATTAGTTTGCCAAATGAAAAAGAAACTTCCTGTTCTAAAACTGAAAAGGAAGAGCAAAACAAACTACAAGAACTTCATTTTTCTCCCACAAGGGCAGAGCTTCATGAAAACAAAGTCATGCAACAAACATCAGTTAACACACCCAGTAAAAACGGTGATACCAAGAAGTCACATTCTGCCACAATTAATTCCCAAAAATGTATAGACGTTAAACGTTCTCAAAAATCAAGCCAACGAAAGATTTCTGACTTCTTCGGACCAGTCAGGGAAAAATCGTAACCTCTGTACAAAAGTAACCCTACATCCTCTTGCACATTTTGTAAATATACATGTATACGTATATCCACTGTTGTAATAAATTTATTGAAGAAATCGAAGTTGTTTGCGTATCATATAAGCTTTAAAAAAATACGGATATTTCGATGTCTACAAAAACAAAAGTAATACAGTTTTATTAAAATAACTTATTTCCCTCTAGACTCTGAAACAGCGATACATTAGAATATTCCTAGTATTCAATTATTTAACTATTTTATTTAAATTGCATTACGATGCGGTGCAGAATAAATAACAATTCTGAAAAAATAGCACGCCGAATGTTTATACATTTTTTTAATCCCGATTGGTTCTGTGATTTAAAAATGCCGCTCTCTGGAGTGCGTGGGAGGAGTAGTCGCGATTATCAGAGAGTCACGTGAGAAGTATCGACGTATCGCGTCGGCTGGTGGCCCGACCAAATCGTGAAATACCAAAATGGCCACTACAACTGAAATATTAAATCCTCTCGTTGGAAAAGTAATTTTCCGAAAGAAAATGTAGGATTTCTCACCGCCCATCACGTCTCAGGTAACGTCCGATATTCTCACTCACAACTCGTGTGGTTTTTTCGAAAGTTAGGTTAGTGTCATCCGCGGAATTAGTGGGCGTATTTCATAGCAAAAGGCAATGACATTTACCTGGCGATTTGACAGGCACAGATATAAATATTGAGCCAAACTCTGTGCATACGATGTTTCACAAATGCTATACGCACATCTAATTGTTGCCCCGCAAAACAGATAGCAGTGATAAGGGAAAAGTGTCGGACGATTGTCTCTCCTCGGACGATGCTCTGTGAATATATCATTTTTCATCAATGAAAAATTCGAGTGATCGTGGAGTTATTGCGATGCATTATTGCTGCACTCGACAGTCACAGAGCTACGGTAGATTGGCGCTGTATCGGGCAGTGAATTCAATCGGTACTTTATGAGCGATAGATAAGTCGAATATTTAATGATACTGTTGCCAGCTGCATTTTTACTGGCCTATGCTGCATTTTCATTGCTTCATTCAGTTTTGAAAATCAATGTCATTGCAGTCTGGGCTTCATGATTCCCATGCCAGGTTACATCTGAAAATATTATTTTCCCATCATCTGAAATGTACTTCTTGGTCCTAATCCATGTTTTGAATGGAACTTTTGGACTGGTAACCGTCAAAATATGTCAGTTATAATGGATGATAGGTGAGGAGCGCTCTGTGTCATTTGTTTCCTGATAATTCTCTATTCAATCTACATTTCATGCATCCAATATGAATAAGTCAATACTTATTATTCATTAATCTTTAATCATTTAAATAGGCGACGCTTCTTCTATTTTATGAAATATTTTTTCATGTTTATAGCACATTACCAAGCATGAACATAATGCGTAAATTAAAAGGGGGTGGCAGCGTCGGGAGTGTGGGTTCCAGTAGCAGCGGAGGCTTGGATGAATCCACAAGCGGAGCGAACCCGCAGCATACTGCTCTGGGTCTGATGCACCTGAAAAAGCTTTTTTCAGAATACACTCACCCTCCACACCCCCTATCTGAAGCAGAACGTGATGATAAACTGTATAATATGCTGCCTTTGTTCTGCAAGGTTTGTATCAATCTTTTGATATACGACTTTAGACTTAAGTTCGTCTTCTGAGCTACATTTATAAAGATAGACATTCGTCTACCTCTAATATGGAGAAGAATCACTGTATTATGTAGGAACTTTAAAAAGGTTGAATTATTTTAAGTATGTATGATGAAGTATGTATAGTATGGCCATAGCTATTGAAATTTAATCATTTACCATGGTCAGGTGTTTAATTACTTCCTCCTATATATTTTATGGTCTCGTTATGTGATCACGTACAAAACAAGTTTCGGAGTACTTTATTGGCTTCAGTGGTGTAACTTTCTCCTTTGTGGTTATCTTGGGGTCTGGCAAGAAGTCTGAACATATTTATGATTTAATTTAATCATACCCTTTCATTTTAAAATTCAATGTACTTTTATTGAGTATTAATAATTATCATTTATCTGTTTTAGGTATTTGGATCCAGTCCATCTGGGGATATGAATGAGAAGTTTTGGGATATTTTAGCATTTACACAGCAAGTATCTGCATTGATGGTATCTGAAATTAGCAGAAGGGCAAGCAATCAGAGTACCGAAACAGCAAGTTGTGCTATTGTAAAGTTTTTAGAAATTGAAAACAGTGAAGAGTCCAGCAATGGGTGGATGCTACTATCTGCATTAAATCTACTAGCTGCTGGCGATACTTCTTTGATACTGGTAAGAAGATTAGTTCAATTTGTATTGTCAACAATCTAATGTTCTGGTGATTCTTAAGGCTATGACAACTGCTTCCGTTCCATCGACTTTGGTAAAGTGCCTCTACTTGTTCTTTGATTTACCGGAAATGAGCGAAGACGAGGCAGATGTTACCGATACAAATAGTGAATTCACACCTCGAGAACGTAGAATACTCCTACAAAAGATTTTTGTTCAGGTAATATTATACGTTTTTTTTTCACCACATATATTGATTTTTGTTCTCTTTTGATGAGTGGATTGAATTTGATTTACAGCTGCTAGTACGATTATGCAGTCACCCATATCCGGCGGAAGAACTTGCCCGCAAAGATGATTTAACTTTACTGTTCTCGGCGATAACTAGCTGGTGTCCTCATTACAATGTAATGTGGCGGAAAAGTGCAGCAGAAGTTCTAATGACCTTATCTCGTCACGGCCTTACGCAGAGTGTTGTTTCATACATACACAGTAAGTTTCGCTTCTAGCTGAGTCATCAACTTCAACAAAAGATGTTGCATTAAGATTACTATCACTAATTACATTGTTTCATAGATAAAGGATGCATAGCACTTTGCATTGATAATATGCAACGAGTGCCCGAATTAGCCCCATTGGAGGTGGTTGAAATGTTTGTGACAGTATTCTGTTTCTTAAAAGATTCCAGTGAAGTATCTCAGACATTGTTGGATGATTTCCGTGCTTGTCAAGGATACGTATTTCTATCGGAATTTTTATTGAAGTATGCATTTGTTAAATGTGCATTAGTTTATATTTATTTGTTATTGGTTACACAGGATGATCATAATGAAATTTTTATTAATAGACACGCGCCATCAAGATTGGAACAAGACGAGAAAGCTGAGGCACAGGACGCAATTAGGAATCTGGTCTTAATGTTAGCGTCACTTACCATGTGTGGTCATACAGAGTTAAAACCAAGTCAAACCAGTATGGGATCTCTTTTTCAAATGTTAGGCTTTACGTTACCTCAACCGAGTAATAGAGGTAATATTAAAGAACAGTTATTAATATTTAACAGTTTCTTACAACTTACTGTTTTCTTAGGTGGCAGTGTCCGTAACGTGCAAGCATTCAAGGTTCTACAATCAGTATTTGTCAAATCCAATTCATCTCTATTGTGCTGTACTATACTCGACGCCATATCAAGCGTTTATCATAGCGACAACGCCAATTATTTCATTTTGGAGGGACAGAATACTTTGTCACAATTCTCCGAAAAAATTCATCTGAAAAATCCAGAAATTCAAAAGAAGTTCTTCCAGCTCATAGAATTTATAGTATTTCAATTAAATTTCGTGCCTTGCATAGAACTCGTATCTCTGTCTATATTACTGAAGAAAAACAATTCGGTCAGTTGCAGTATTATGTGCGTGGAAACTCTTCTAAATATACTGAGGTAATTGGATTTTTATATCGAGTTTCTTTATATTATTATATAATTAAAAAATTCCAATAAATTTCTAACGCTTTCTTTCCATATTTTTTAGACATAATGGAATATTCAAAGATGTTTATCAAGAAGTTGGCATCCTTGAAGTATTTGTGACATGTCTTCATCGCTATGCCACATTATTAAAGGATAAACAAGCTGCCACGGATAAGGGATTGGGTACGTATTAAGGAGAGTTTCTTCTTTGCGTGAGAATTGAAATATTAATGTATTTGTATCGGTCCTTATACTTTTCAGAATACAAAATGTGCCCGGAACAAGAACGACTTGGTTTTTTAGTGATGGAGGCTTTAACAACACTTTTGGCAGGAAGTACACAAAATGCTAATGTATTTAGGGAATGTGGAGGAGCGCGATGCGCTCACAATCTTGTACCGTACGCCGATTGTAGACATCAAGCCCTTGGCATCGTTAGGGAGCTAATACTCAGTGCAGGTGGTGACGACGACATGGCAACTTTACTCGGTGTCATGCATTCTGCACCACCCAGTGCACTTGTACTCAAAACTCATATACTAAAAGTAAATGAAACTTTAAATTTTCTGTATCAAGTGTCCGAAGAGCATCCTCACATGATTTAATTACTTTTCAGTCTTTGCTCTCTTGTCTTCGAGAATCGCACCGAACAAGAACCGTATTCCGTAAAGTTGGCGGTTTTGTTTACGTAATGTCTGTTCTTGTATCTTTGGAAGGTCGATTAGGCACCCAAATGTTACAAAGTGCAGAACCGTGCAACGATCTCAGTCAGCGAACCCCTCAAGAAGAAGCCCAATTGTTGACGCTGTTGCATGTTGTCTTTCATACAATTAGTACAGCCATGAGATTTGAACCTGCAAATGCGAAATTTTTTCATCACGAGGTTTGTAAGCAATGTATCTCCGATAACGTGATTCTAAACAGAACGTTATACAAATTTTTATCCCACATTAGATATGCCAATCGAGTCTCTGCGATACCTTACGACTTCTCGGTTGTTTCTCAACTGATACCAAAGTTACCGAAACCGACGTTATGCTAACATTAAATTATCATAATACTCTACTTGCCCTATTTACCAGTAACGTGTTAGAACCAACATTTCCTGGTGAAATGCCAAAAACTTTGGGATACGCGTGTATATTATTGAGGCTCCTTTACGATGTTGCACTGGATGCTTTCGATAAGCCTAATCTCACTGGTGTGAGTATAAGGTCTCCAAGCCATAAACAGACTACTGTGGAGGTAGGTTTCTAATTTAAATAAAAATGATTCTAAGTACTAAATAAAAATATTTTAGCATCAGAAATTACTGGATTCGCCTGGAAGCGGGAAAAGATGCAATGTAAATTCTCTAAATCTGAATCCTCCTGCTCCGGAGCCAATTGTTGTTCATCCCGGAATTGTTGTTGGCATGTTACATCTGCTACCTTCGATTCACGAACCTTCCAATCCTCAGTTTGCTTTGGCACTTCAATTGTATATAGCTGAAGTCATCAAAAGCTTGGTACGCTCTGAAAGGAATCAGCAAGTCATGTGCGATGCTGGAATGGCGGGAGAATTATTAATGATGGGCAGAATTGCTCTGCAAGATGAAACACATCCTCTCCATCAGCCATTGCAATACATCATAGAAAGACTTGCAGCTCAATCGCTGGAACCCAAAGACTTGAGGTAAACGTTGTTTTTAAAGTAATTGAAAGTTTATACAATTAAACAACGTAAATATTAATAATTCCTAAACCTCTTTCATTTATCAGGGAATTTTTGAGACTTGGCGATCCATTATGCTGCATATGCTTAGATGAAATGGAAACTAACAAGCCGAAAGGAGGTCCTGTTCCATTGACTCGAATAAAAACCTTGGTATCGATGACTACCCCCAAAGATTTTAGAGCACATGGTTCTTGCACGTTACCATCCTTCGTTGAATTCGATATGAGTGCAGAAGGGTTTGCGTGTCTGTATTTACCCAGTGTCGCACCACAAAGCACCACACCACCCACAGTAGTAACAGCTGATAACAGCGTACTTGGTGGAATTGGATCAGGTAAATCCCAGGTTATATTAACCATGAAAAATGGTAACTTCCGATTAACTGACAAAATGAAAATTCTGTAGGTGATAGATTGTTTCCCCCACAAACTGGATTAACATACAGCACTTGGATATGTGTCGATAAATTCAGTGATCCCCGAACAGATCCGCATTGTGTGAGATTGTTGACTTTGGTACGGAGTCCTCAATCGGCTCGAGATTTAATTTGCTTCACTGCCGTCCTCAGTGCAAGAGATAAAGCCATTATTGTTTCCACTCAAGAGACCGCCTTGCTTCAGAGTAAGTTTAGCACTGCACTATATTTATCATGTACTTTAAATACATCGTAATGCGTTCTTTAGTCTAAGTGTGAGAAAATAAAACTTTATTACTAGATGTGAGCGAGTGGGAGCCAGAGCGAGCAGGTGAATCCGCAGCTAGAGTGTGGTGTCCGGATTTACTTCATGAAGGGCAGTGGCATCATATTGTGATAGTGTTGAATCGCGCTGTCTTGAAGAACTCCAGTTTCTCATTATACTTAGATGGCCAACACGTACACAGTCAAAAGGTTGTATATACATTTTCTCAAGTCGCTAAAGTTACCGTTCTGTATTTCCTTATCGTTTTCCTCCTTTCAACTTTTAGCTGCATTACATTACGCAAAGCCCAGGAGGAGTTGCGACAAATTTAACCGTAGCATCACCCGTGTATGGTTATATAGGAACGCCTCCATGTTGGCGACGGTATTCCCGACTTACATGGAAACAAGGACCGTGTCATTTGGTAGAAGAAGTATTTAACTCTCATAGCGTAGCTATTTTGTTTAAATTAGGGCCTCATTACATGGGTAGTATGCAAGCACCGCAAATAACTGGTAAGTAAAGTACGAGTGTAATAAGAAAGCAGTTGCAGTTTGCACTGCATTATTGAAAATTACTACTTTGTTCGCCTAGGACCTGAGCCTTTACCAGCTTTAGTAGCTGAAGAAAAGGTCGTTTTTGGATTGAATGCCAAAGCCATGTCGCAGCTGACACTTGCGAAAATTAGAAAAGTATATAGTAGGGCTGATAACAAGTCAATAGCTAAACAGGTGTGTAACCACACTTCTTGCTCGTTATATTAACTTCTGAATTTGCTCCTTGTTCTATGCAATAATTGATTTCGCAGCTGGGCATGTCGTCTCATGAGAACGCTACACCGATTAGAATTTTACACAACTCTGCTGGACACCTGAGTGGACCAGCGAGGGCATTGGGTGGTGTTGTGGTTGGTTATTTAGGAGTTCGAGTTTTTAATCCTCGACCAGTTGCCACTATGATTGACAATGTTGGTGGCTGCTCCGTTTTACTTGGTCAGTTTAAAAATATTACCACTGTAAATTTGTTTCTCTAACTTATTGTCTAACATTCTGGTTTATTTAGGAATGATTGCAATGGCTCAAGATGTGGAATCACTTTATGCTGCTGTAAAAGCATTAGTATGCGTCGTACGCTCTAATCAAGCAGCCCAACAAGAAATGGATCGGCGAAGAGGTTACCAAACTTTGGCAATGTTGCTGAGAAGGAAGTGTCCCCTTTTGAACAGTCACATATTGCACCTCACATTTAGTTTGGTAGGTACGGTCGACAGTGGAAGGGAAACCAGTGCTATTCCTAATGTTACTGCTTTCCAAGATCTTTTATGCGACCTGGAGGTAAGAGCATAACACATAAGATAGCAACTTTGTTTCTTTTTGCAATGTCTCACATGTTATCACTAAAATAAACCGTACTATTTAATTAAATTCAGGTTTGGCACGAAGCACCAGGAGAATTGCTACGTTCTCTCCTGGAACACTTGTACGAATTGATTGCAGAGTCTAGCGAGAAGCGTACAAATTTAAGGCTCATGAGAGATTTGCAATTAGTACACAAACTGCTGCACATTTTAAGCGATGTAAAACAGAACGCTACAAGACAAGTACTTTTAGCACTGTTAAACATATTACTGGGTCAACCTCGGCAAGCTGATTTATTGTGGTACGATGTTGTATTACCCGTTACTTTCTTAAATTGTCGAAAATAAATATACGTTAAATAAAGAACTTTACTCATCTTTCCAGGTTTGGGCAATTTATCGTGGCTACTTTGCCAGTTTCCTCCGAGAAACATTTAGTATTGCGCGAAGCCGATGGTTCGAAAGACGGAGAGGGTGAATGTATACTATTAAGGAATCGATGCTTACAGCTTTTACATTCATTGCTGTTCAATGGGTCGAAAGTAAATACAAGGTAAATGATCGAATAAATGTCTTTAGCCATTTAATCTCTATAACATTGAACTCTACGCAGCATGTGTGAAGAGGTGGCACGCGTTTTGGGATTGGATTGGGTGCTCCTATTCCTGCAAGCCGGTCTTCACAACTCTACAGTGGTTTGGGGGCTACGTATATTGGTTGCAATCTGTTCGGTACAATCGATATTACAAAAATTCAAGGAAGGAACGAGTAACGGAGGCTGGTTACGCCACACAGACCACAACAAAGTAGCATTAGCGTTAGGTACAGGGCTAAAATGACTATGTTTAAATTAATTTTAGGGTTGACACTGTTTAGTGGTTGAACATTTTCAATACGTGCGTTGTACTGATTTTTGTAATATTTTGTAGGATGTCATCAACAGATGTCCGGAGGTGATATAAAAACCGCAGGACTTCATGTCCCAGGCTTCCAACACCTTGGCTGGTTACTCCCTCAGCACGTAGATCTTGATCCTGAACTATACTTCTTATTTATTGCTCTCACGATGGGCCAACCTGTAAAATTACTGCCTGCTGATTCGAAGGTACTATTCAGATTCTTAAAATAGGGTTTTTTGTTTTGATGATCTCACATGCTACGGTGGAATAATATATTTTCCAGCTGGACCTCAATAATGTCTGGAACTTCATGTTCGGCGTACCGGCAAATCATTCGCTATCTTCATATGCTAGCAGAATCAATCTTTGTCCTGAGGCTGTAGTTACGCTCTTGGCCATGGTTCGCACCATGCTTAACAGTTATTCTACTGGGTAAGTAGACGCAGCTTTCAGTAATTCACGGGCATTAACTATTTAATCTTACTAGAAACGTATTTTTGTAGTCAAGCGATTAAAGAAGTAATGTAATTATTTTTTTTTGGTTACAGCCCAGAGAATTTGCCAGAATGGCTCACTGACTATCCAGTGACAATAATCCAATTCTTATTCTTTCTGTATCACAATTTTACCGATTTCATGCATGTGTTCATGTCAGCTGAGGTACTGGGGGCACTGGCTGGGACCTTATTCCCAAAGCCAGGAAACTGTCAAGACAGCAGCGGTGCCAGCACTCCATCGGATGAGGTAAATATTACTCCAAAATTACCGAGCAAGTATCAAAATAATGGGTTAATTAAAAATTAAACCTTTTCTAGGAACCGGTGTTGGTGCGGTCTCCGTCGAAAGACGTGAGTCTTACAAACCACCCGGCTCGGAAATTTGTCATGGATTTTCTCAGAGTTATTATAGTCGATTCCCTTTCACTGCCCGTAACCGCAAAATCACCACCTGCGATCGATCTTGTTTTGGAAGCTTGGCCAGAACATGCTTCTACTGGACAACAAACTCGTTACCAAACAGAAGTTTTGTCAATTTTAATGGACCATTTACTGGCAGCGGATGTTCTTATTGGCGAACAAGCTGCCTTGCCGGTTGTACCTGGCGGTTCTGCTAATAATATTACCAATAATGTATGTTACGTTGCTGCCAGGATAGTCGATAAATTGTGGCAAGGTGAAGTTGCTTGATTTTTAAATCATAAAGACCTTAATATTCTGTAACACATAGATCGATGTACTACAATAGTTCTCAATGTTTAATGTTACAGGCGCTTTAACCAAAGATCCACACGAAGTATTTGATTTTATCGTAAAACTTATCGGCCAAGCGAAACGAAGACCTGGTGCTGTCAGTATGGAAGGTCTTCATCATTGCCTAAATAGGACAATCTTATTTCTCCTGTCGCGATCTACGGAGTCTATCGCCGATCAAATGGCTGTTTTAGAAGCGTTGCACAAACTTACAAACCATAGGTTCGTATCAATGATTTACGTTTATTTTATATTTTCCTACAATCACTCATACGTATAACATTTTCCTTGTTTTTCCTTAGGCTGTTAGTTTTTGGTGCTGGGAATCATGAACTAGAGTTTATCGGTTGTTTGACGTATTGTCTTCTTCAATTGACAGCTGATATAAAGATTATGTTGGACACCAATATGAAAACCACTTGGCATGTCAATCCACAAGTTGAATCCAGCGATGACAGGTTAACATCTCATCAGGGACATAATTTAATGGCTGTGGCTGCATTGAGAGTGTGGGAAGAACTTTACGTTTGCAAGAAGCCCGCTATTGAAGAAGTATTTAAAATTACTTTACCTCAACCAACGGGTAACGAACGAGCTCCTGACTTAGGAGCCGTGAGGGATCAAGTTTATGAAGCTGCGACAAGATTATGGTTGAATTATGTAGTATTGGAGAGAAAAGCTTCATACCGAGTACCTTGGGAATTTCATAATCAAATTCAATCGGTTAGCGAAATTCTCTTTGAACTACTTCTTTTAATTAGGAACTACATTTTCTCTTGAATGTGACCATTCTTGTAGCAGTGCGTACTGAAATTTTATATAAAATGTGATATGAATTTTTCTAATCTTCCTAGAAAATCCAAAAAGTAACCGGAGGTTTGACGAGACTGGCAAGTAGGACAAAGGTTAGAAAAGAGGAATCCATACGAGTTAGGCTAAGACTTCATCAGAATACTGTGGCACAATGGACAGAACAACATGTAGCTCTGGTCAGAGAACTTGCAGCAGCAAGACGTTTACAGCATCAACAGACCTATCAGCACACCCAGCGTTACGTATATCAAGTATGTTATCATAGATGACATATAACAAGACTAACTTTTAAGTAATAGTATTAATCGAAACTATCTAAATTAATTTTTTTTCCCTTTTAGGAATGGTTACAAACAGAAACAGAATTGACAAGGGAAAGAGGTTTATGGGGTTCGACTGCACCTACTAAATTGGACAAATGGATGCTGGATATGACAGAAGGTCCTTGCAGAATGCGCAAAAAAATGATGAAAAATGATTTGTTCTACATTCACTATCCGTACAGGCCAGAACTGGAACATCCCGATAATGTGAGTAAAGAAATAAAATAAAATCGAGAAATGTCGTGTTGAAGAATACGTGAAAGTTAATTGTTATATTGAAATATATGTGTTTTTTTTTCTACGTAGAAACAATTGAAGTACAAAGTAGCCAGTAGTCTGGACAGCAAGGACTATTATTTAAAGCAACTGGATAACGCATCGGGAATGTTCGAACGAGAACGCGATCCAGTGATCGACGATACTCCCTTAAATGTTAACGAAGTGTCAACCGAGAGTGAACCGCCAATGGTGCCTTGCACATTGGAGCGTCATGCCAGCGAGCCTGATGAAACTGCAGAAGATAATGAACAGGAAGAAGAGAATAACCAGGCTGTACCAGATAACCAGACTCTCCTTCGACTGCTTGAAGAGCACGAGAAGGTACATTTGTAAAGCCATCGTTATAATTTTGTTTTACTCCTCCAGTTGCTCTAATATTAATGTAATGCTCTTAGATAAGCCACATGTTCAGGTGTGCAAGAATACAAGGGTTAGATACAACGGAAGGTCTTTTACTTTTTGGCAAAGAACATTTTTACGTCATCGATGGATTTACTTTATCAAAGTCGAGGGAAATAAGGGATATCGAGAGCTTGCCCGAAGCTTATGAACCTATATTGCCTTCACCTGGATCTCCTAGACGATCCAGGGCTATGAGACAGTGTTCGAAATTTAATTACGAAGACATTAGGTATGTAAATAGTAATCAACATTCTTTTCAATACTTATAATTTCTAGAACGTCGTTACATGCTCATTTTTTATCAGGGAGGTCCATAAGAGAAGATACCTATTACAACCGATGGCGTTGGAAGTTTTCAGCGGAGATGGTAGAAATTACCTCTTGGCATTTCCGCGTAAAGTACGGAATAAAGTTTATCAAAGGTTCATGACTTTCGCTACTGCCATCGCTGACAGTGCCCAACAATCAGTGGCTGGTCAAAAGAGAACAGCAAATGTCGAGCAGGCTACGGGATTGTTGTCGAATCTAATTGGGGAAACGTCTGTTACGCAGCGATGGGTGGTTCGTGTCTCAATATAAATCTACTATTATAATAACTCTGATAATATGATAATTCTGAAAATATTCAGTAATGTTAACACTTTATTTTATTTTTGTATAGAGGGGAGAAATATCTAACTTTCAATATCTGATGCACCTCAATACGCTGGCTGGTCGTAGTTACAATGACCTTATGCAGTATCCCATCTTTCCTTGGATATTGGCCGATTATGACAGCGAAGAATTAGATTTAGCCGATCAAGCGACCTTCCGAGATTTCGCAAGACCCATGGGTGCACAAAGCTCTGAGCGATTACTACAATTTAGGAAGAGGTAGATTGATCCCAATGGTTTTCAAAAGAGTCTTACGAGACTTTTACTAAATTCGCGTCCCCTTGTGAGTAAGGTGTAATAACATTTTCATTGTTAATAGATATAAAGAATGGGATGATCCACACGGAGAAACTCCACCGTATCATTACGGTACACATTATTCGTCAGCAATGATAGTGTGTTCTTATTTGGTAAGAATGGAGCCATTCACGCAGCATTTCCTCAGGTTGCAGGTCGGTAATACCATTAATAAGAATGAATCGTTCGTATACAGATTTTGTCAGGAACGAAAAAATTCATATTTTTAGGGAGGTCACTTTGATTTGGCCGACAGAATGTTTAACAGCGTTAAGGAAGCATGGCTCTCGGCTTCTAAACACAATATGGCAGATGTAAAGGAACTGATACCAGAGTTCTTCTACTTGCCAGAATTTCTTGTCAATTCCAATCACTTTGATCTAGGTACGTAAATAAATTCAATTGGAAATGTTTCATCTATGTAGTTGTATTCCAGTTGCTTACTTAAAATATTTCGTGATTTCAAAATAACACTGAACAAACATTTAAGGCTCGAAACAAAGTGGCGTTCAACTTGGAGATATAGTTCTTCCTCCATGGGCGAAACAGGATCCTCGTGAATTCATTCGAATGCATCGTCTCGCTTTAGAATGCGACTTTGTCTCTCAACATTTACATCATTGGATAGATTTAATATTCGGATGTAAACAGAACGGCCCAGGGGCCGTAGAGGCTGTCAATGTATTTCACCATCTTTTTTACGAGGGGAACGTCGATATTTATAAGTTAGTATTCAGTCATTTGATTCTTTTCTTACCGTATTCGGTCTCGTTTATTACTAAGTTCTCTTTTACAGTATCGACGATCCTTTGAAGAAAAATGCAACGATCGGGTTTATCAATAATTTTGGTCAAATTCCGAAGCAGCTATTTAAAAAGCCACATCCATCTAAAAAGATGTCTCAGAGGACTAGCGTTATCGACCCTGGTCCTATCACGCCTGGACTTAGCATAACAACGTCCGATAGACTGTTCTTCCACAATCTTGACAATCTAAAACCATCTTTGCAACCGATTAAGGGTACTTCATGATTACATATTAAAACGTAGTTTATTTGAATTTTCTCCCGGGTTCTTGGAAATGATTTTCATCGTGAACTTCCCAACTTTCACAGAATTAAAGGGCCCTGTCGGACAAATTTTACACTTGGATAAGGCTGTACTTGCAGTGGAACAGAATAAAACCCTGATTCCACCATCGTACAACAAGTACGTCGCGTGGGGCTTTGCAGATCATTCACTAAGAATAGGAAACTATGATAGCGATAAAGCAATATTTGTCTGTGAGGGTATGATGCAAAGCAGTGGGGAAATAGTGGCCTGTGTCTGTCCATCATCCAAGTTAATCGTAACTGCAGGCACTAGTTCCGTAAGTACTTCAAAACTTATTCCACTGAAAATTCGTCACAACTAGTACTAGCTTTCTCATAAAGTTTACGGTTACTAGTAGTAGAGTATATATTTTGCTCCTACTAGGTGGTAACTATTTGGGAATACGCAAAACGGCAGCTTTCTATTAAACAATGTTTATACGGGCATACGGATGCTGTAACGTGTCTGGCCTCAAGTCCGGCATACAACGTTATAGTATCAGGATCGAGAGACAGTACAGCCATCATTTGGGATCTGTCGAGATGTCTTTTTGTGCGGCAACTCAGGGGACATGCTGGACCTGTTGCTGCCGTTGCCATAAACGACTTAACGGTATGTCTAAACTGTTCCATTTAATTTTCAACCATACTAATCCTAATCCATAACTTCTATTTAGGGTGATATTGCGACTTGCGCGGCAACGTGGTTGCACGTGTGGAGTATTAACGGGGAAGAATTAGCAAGTGTTAATACTTGTGTTGGCAGAGCCGACAGGATGCAACAGATTCTTTGTGTAGCATTTAGTCAAACGCATGAGTGGGATTCTCAAAATGTCATCATGACAGGTTCAACGGATGGAGTTGCTCGTGTAAGCAACTGTTCTTGACTGCATTGTTACGTTTTATTGCATTCTATTGACTGCAGTATTAAACTGAACTACGTTTTATCATCTTTTTAGATGTGGTCGATGGATTACGTGCAAGTGCCTGCCGAGGAAGACAAACCAAAAGAAGTGGAACCTGAAGCAGAGAAGAAAGGGAAGCCAGGTGGCGAAGAAGCTCAGAGCGAAAGTACAAAGAAGAGAGTGCACGATCTCGTTAAGCAAATGAGTATTTCTGCCGAAGGAGCAGGTAAGACCGGTTGCGACTGATTGGTAGAAACTTTGCTTATACTTTGTGACAAACTTTTACCAGCAGGCATGCTTGCGAAAAGCGGATCGGAGAGCAGCCTCTCAGAACCTGAGAATACCAAAGAAGCATCGAGACTGCACGAAGAAAAGGAGGAGTGCTCGGATAATGAGTCCAGCAATGGATCCGGTAGCAAACCCTCGCCTCAGAGTAATCATTCTACTACCGTTGTTCTTCGAAGAAAAAATCGAGGTAATCCGATGTTTCGGAAAAGTGAAGGTGGAGGTCGTGCCGACAGTGACGGGACACAAACTAGGTAACTTTGTAACCTTATTTACACTAGTAGTGATGATATTCACTATAGCGGGGTGATGTCTGTATGTATCTCCGTATTTCAATTATGTCAGTCGAATATAATGCTTTTCCTTCTTAGCGAATTGACGAATATTTCTGGAGATTCCGAAGGGGCATTACGAGCGAGTAAAAGTGACACCAGTCTGACGGACAGCTTTGTGGTCGTTACGGAAGCAGATACTAAGCCTAAGAAGATCAATCCTCAGAACATTTTAAGGGAAGGCTTTAAATGGCAGCGACAGTTGGTTTTCCGAAGCAAACTGACAATGCACACTGCCTACGATCGCAAAGATAATACCGAGCCGGCATCTATCACTGCTCTCGCGGTATCGAGGTATGTCAAAGACAATAAAGTGGTCGAAGAATTGTGAGTAACCCGCTCGAGTATTCTGCCTTTTAGGGACCATAGAGCCGTGTACGTAGGGGATGCCAGAGGAAGAGTGTTTTCTTGGAGTGTATGCGAACAACCGGGTCGAACGGTAGCTGATCATTGGCTGAAAGACGAAGGAGCTGATTCTTGCGTAGGCTGTGGAGTTAGATTCAATCTTTACGAGAGGCGTCACCATTGTCGCAATTGTGGACAGGTGTTTTGCTCTAAGTACGTTTAGTTTTTTTTTCCTTTCAGCCTGCGTAAGCTATAATTTACGTAAAAGGAGTTTATGAAAAAATAATAATGACAAATAACCTTTAAATTCCTTTGCAGATGCAGCCGATTTGAATCCAAGATATCCAGACTTGGCATTTTGAAACCTGTAAGGGTTTGCCAAGGATGCTACTCCACACTTCGCCCTCAAAACTCTACGGAAAGCAACACTTAATATGGTAATCCGAAATTACCCGTGATATACGTTCTTCGTTTAGACGAATATTTATTTTATTTGTACATATTCATGAGTGTAACCGTACACCTCCTCGAAGAAGTAGAATTCACGTTAGGGGGGTGTAAACGTTGCCTGGAATTTCGGTGGGTAATTATGTTGGAGCCCCCACGTTTTATTGCTTCATGACACGGCAGTACGGATATCGATTGAGAATACGTCAATGCAGGGGCCTCTTCGTAAATATAACGCACTTCTTCGATAAACTCCTGCACTTACGTTTGAAAACTACATTTACACTCGAGCCAGCTATTTTTATCAGGACTACGCGATCGAATATATTGTACCGCGACGTTTAAACGGGACTATCCCACTTTTTCACATACAAAAAAAAAGAAGCACGATATGCAATGTATCGTTTACAAATAGTGCCGTTGGTACTGACTATTACTAATGTGCTAAGACGTGCGGATAAGAGTCTGACTAATTACACGTAGTCGAAGTAACCACCAAAGTGCGGATATATTACATTACGCGGGTATAAACCGTGTCGAAGGGGATGATTTGGTAATACGTTTTCACGCAAGGGATCGAACGAGTGCATTCTGCGATCCAGTTTTCCATCTATAAAAATTGTATAGGTAGACTCTCGTAAGCAGTAGTTCCCGGAATATTATACATATAACCATCGGTGTTACATGCATAGGGGACAATTTATTATTCGTAATCTGTGATTCTTAATTTTACATTATTATTTAGATACGGTAAAAAGAAAGGATTTAATGACGTTTGATACTTGCATTATATATACATATATATATATATATGTATATATATGATTTCGTACGAACTATTAACTTCATATTAATGTATACATACACTGTGCGAAGTATTGGTTTTGCAACACATGTGGTATACACTAACTTATATTTATTAGTTGGTACGTATTTTACGGTATAATTTGGCAGAATAATAGCGGAAAAGTATTGGATATTTAGAACACACGTATGTTTGATGATCCTCAATATTTATCTCTTTTTCTTTTCTACGGTTGTAATGACATTGTGGTACGTGTCCATTATCTTTCAAGCTATATCCCACATTCAACGAGCGCAACCAACACGAACACGTTGCCTTTTATTTGTCCATTATGCTTAATTTATTCAAACGTGCTACTACACAATAGACAATACCGTATTTGCGTAAGAATTACAAGGAAACCGTAGACTCTAATCGTAACGCCGATAAGTGAAGGTATATACAAATCCAGACGTTTGTTTACAACTTAGATAATAGTATTACCCTCATATATATATATATATATATACATATACATATAGTAAAAAAAAACCTGGATCGTCGCGAGAACAGTACTAATATATCCGATGAACGAGGTTTATAAAATTTTAAACAATCGACACGCGTTCCGGGAAAAAAATTCACGAGAGTGCTAGCTCGAGTAAGAGTTACCGAAAAATGTCAATTGTAGCCTTTTGAGCTAATTAATACGTTCATAAGATCGGAACAACAAAGACGTATTCGTTAATTGGTATTAATTTGTATGTCTTTTATATTCGGTTGTTTGAATTATTTTGACGCGCTGTGAATTTTTAAAACTTGACCTCCCTTAACGAGAGAAATTTGGAGACCCAATTTACTATCTAAACATTATATATATATATTCGTAAAATACGAAACAAAGTGTCAAGCGATTCGTAGACATTTCGTACTATTTATTGCTCCGATAACTTCGCACAAATCAGGATCGAGGTAGCTGGAAAAACTATTAAAACCGACGTTAATAATTATGACAGTATTGCACTTACTAAAGTTACTAAGTAAGACAGTACGCCCTACTGTTTCCAAACGCGTAAATGTTCTAAAGTATAATCAATTATCTATGCGAATTCGTAAGAACGTCATAACAGAATTAAAATAATGAATATGGGGAAAGCGCTTTGATGATCTGAATTTCAGATAACGTTTTTATCTGCTAATAATCTACATGCTATTATTATGTCTTATTCATTTTTCTGGTCGATGATTCCAATGAAAAGCTAAAGCTACTGTTACTAGGTAAACCATACATCATACATAAGGAAATAATCTAACGATACAAAGCAGCAAAATCTAACCGATACAATTTCCTTGTTTAGTAAATTATTAAATGATTAGCGCTGCCGCGTTATTTATCTATTTATTTATTTCAAAGAACACAGAAATGATGTGTGCGGTAATATTCTCAAAGTAAATTTGCTGTTACTAATCTGTATCACATTTTTATGTGAAGATTCAAAGATTTCACTTTTTTACTTCTCCCAGACACAAGACATTTTCTAATCAAATGTGCTTTCGGTGTCATCGTACCTTTCCTCATATAAATTTGCTAAATTTATTATCTTTAACAGTATTATTTATAATTGGTCAAATCGGATATTATTTGTACATATAAATTCTAATGATGGCATGAGTTTTGCAGACGATTTAATTTTTGAAATATTGTATATGTTGCCATCTCGAGGCAAATGTATAATATACAAGAGAGATGTCCTAGTCCATGTAACATTAAAAGTATTATAGGTGTTTTTATTAAAAAGATGGTGGATGTGCCATAAAAGGCGTTAATTGTTGTTTAAATATATTCGAGTTCGTTTGGTTCACTTGTAATATCTACAAGAGTATACATCAGAATCGATCAATCACGTGGATTATTTTTATATAACAGTGTGTTCGAAGTATGATCATTTTAATTAATCAGTATCGGTTCACAAGAGAAGTCCTGACTAATTGAGAAAAGAGAATACAAGAATAATGTAGAGTCCACTTCTTAAGTCGAGGCATCGGCCTACTTGCAATTACAATTTTATTTTATAAGCTAACTTCTTTCTGCAGCTAGCCTTTTGCAACTCTACATAATAACGATTGGAACCTTCAGTTGCAATATTAGTAAGGCCGGAGTTGCACTTAATGTTTCACCCAACCCACTAATAAATCATTTATCTTTGTAACTAATAACGTAGAATGCTTATATTACCTTGTGGAGTAGTTAAATAATTGTAAAATTCAGATTGTCGGATAAAGATATCGCCACGATCAAAATCTATTTTGAAAAGTTGATACGTCAAAGTAATATCGTAATTCCTTCTCATTGATAATTAGGTAAATAAAATTATCCTCTCGAACGAGTAATTACTGCTGAATTTTCGGTAGCATTGCCGCCAAATGTGCGCCATAAAAAATGTAGAACTGGAGCATCGTTTTAATCTGCAAAATCCTGAGATAGTTGCCTAATGCAAAATAAAATGATGGATATTTTTCAAAACAAATATTTGAGTTCCCCTGTCTGAGAACGCTGACCTATTGGTCTCTTCGTTTTCTCTTCTTAAATACTTTAACTTGTAATTTCGTAATCTTACGTCTATTGATGGCACAGATTTGGGTCCGCCCAATTTCTTTTAATTTTTTACCCGACGAGTTGGCATTGACATCTCGAACTCACAATTAAAAACAAGTCTCCAACGTTAATCGCTAAATCAAGATTAGAATACGTCTAATCGTTTATTTATATTCATATTTCCGTGTAACCTAAAAATAAAGAATTTTACGCCGAGGAATCTTGTTCCACGGTTGAGGATCAATCACGAGGACACGTGTGTGTGAAGAATTAATAAGTCCGAGATTTATTCGTTATAGTGCTTCGTTTAACCGTGGCCGAATATGAATTAGTGAACGGCCCCTAGATAAATGATGTCAAGTGTAGTATTTACTCGACAGGATTTGATAGATGAATCAGAATTGGAGCGATTAACGATCAGACCTCAATTTGTATATAATTAAGAGAATTAAATCTAGTATTGTAAGCTTCCATCGTTTAGCGATGTAAGTGATGAGAAATAGACTTTAGAAAAATCGTGTCTAATCGGGTCTGTTTCGCTCTCTAGTGTGATCTGTGGACAGCCAGTCATGAGACTAATTATGCTAACGAGTAATAGGAGGGAATACCATCCCTAAGATCTCTAAAATACTTGAAATTATTTATTGCTAAAAGTATCGTGTATCATCGCGCAAGTTTATTGTTACTGATTTTCCACGGATCATGTAATGGCGAAAAATCTGCACCCTGAATGTAATAATCAGGGCTTGGATTTTGGCTAGTCCTTTGACAATGTTGATGTGCGTTTCATTAGAATTATGCTCCAACCACATGAGTTCACATTTTGTTAATTATCTAATTGGAAAGAAGTAAACAGACCGAATAAATCAATTTGCATTTTCATTTAAAATACTGAGGGAAAAAATTTGAAGTAATTAAAAACCAATTTCGGGGTAACATCGACTATTATTTTTCTATCTTTCGCAGCCCTAACGGGCATTTTAATTCAATGTGTATGCGCAATTGTATTCCTTATTTAATTAAGTGGATAACTTTAGTGATAGAATACCTATCAAGAAAAAATAGCATCCATGTCAAAACATATCAAATTTCGAGCCCTGATGATAACAAATATTAATGCCCAACGCGTGTACGTATGAAGGTGGATGTGTGTGTGCGCTCCGTATATGTACATATGCACACCGTTATGCATATACAGAAATATACATGTCTGTGTAGTGTACTGATAAAACCATCATTTACATTGTATGTAGGTAGTTCCGTCGCTGGTTGATACTCGAAGAATGTTGCATAGTTGATCTTGATCAAATATAGCTTTATTGAATGGGCCAAAACCTTGTACAAGTCTTTTATTTTAAATCCGATCCTATCTTATCCTTATCGTGGATAATTAAACAGACCATTTTCACTAAAATAACTGACAAGCTAAACATCCTTTAAATCAATGAAGTTAATTTAAATTTAATAAAAATACATCAGTGCCAAGCAGTCCTTATGCAGACAAGCGATCCTACTGCACTGTAAAATACGGGAAAAATATTCTAATCCATATAAAATTATAAGTATTATGGGTGTTTTTATTAAGACGTCAGTATTATGCCAAAGAAGGCCTTAATCGTTCTTTAAACATATTCGACTTAATTTTTGAATAACTTATAATACCCATACAGACACATCACAGTTAACTAATCACATGATGCATTGTTTCGAATCAATAGGATCGCATTAAAATATAAACCTTTCTTAGTATGTGTTACTTAAAAAAACTCCTTTAGTTGAGAAAAAAATACAAACGCGTAAGGGTCATACATCGACCTACCTATAAAAATACAGGTAGGTTGATGTATGACCCTTACGCGTTTATATTTAGTTAATACAAAAGTAAGGTCAAATTTTTTTACAGCTGGCTTCATGCACTTCAACGCGATGACGAAAAAACTTTCGATTGCAATTTTGACAAGGGACAAGTGTTGTCTGATGTTTAGCCCAATCCACTATTGGTTCATTAATTTCTGTAATAAATAATTAAATGCCTATATTTCTATAGTAAATAATTCACTTGAAGCAGTTATATGAATACTTATAATATTCATGTGACCAGATATTGCTAATTCATACGTTAAAACAACAATTGGATGAATAAATTTACCTTCTGGAATAGGTAATGACTCCTGCACTTTTGGCACTGGTTCCAATACATATGCATTAGAAGAACTTGGAACTGGCATATTATTATGACCTGGAGGACTGCGTGGTATCTGATGTCTAGGTACTAATGGATTGAAGGTCTCCTTGAGCTTAAAAGTAATGAAAAACATTCCAATCGTAATCACATATATGAATTCTTGAATTTTTATAAAAATATTTATTGTTCAATAATATTTACCTCTTGATCATTGCTGGAATTAGGTTCTTTAATATCTGAGTCAGGGTTTTGTTTTGTTCCTACATGAATTTCTGAAGAAACAGTAGTTCGCCTGTTTGTCTCATCCACCTGGGATTCAGACTTTGACAGGGCCTTTTGATTTAATGAGCTTCGTACCTGTCTTTTATCTTCCGAAGGCACACTGAGCATTTTACCCCGACGTCTTGTTTGGACACCTACTCTTTTAGTTTGCACATGAGACTCATTTTCTTTATTTAGGTCTTTGTTTGGAGTAAAAACATTATCCGAATCTGAAGAACTCATTCTTTCAACATTAATCTTAGTAGTTATATTCTCAAAATCTAAATCACTGAACTTATCAAACATATTTTCTAGACTATTCGGGCTATATAAGTGCTCGGCATTTTTATTATTTATTTGTTCATTAAGAGGCCGTTCTATGGATTTCGAAATTTTAGACTTTGTACGTTTCTTCACAAGATTTACATTTTGTGTATCATTCTGAAAACAAAGAAAATATATAGACAAAATTACAATTATATCTTGAAATCCCATTTAACACTTACTTGATTGTGACATGCAGATTTGTTACACTTGCAGGAATCGTTACATGAAGAATTTTTTTTCACACAACCACATTGTTTGCTTTGACAATGTCCCTTACATGAACATCCCTTTCTTATTTTTGCTATTTCTTCTTCTGATGGCGAATTCGCCTCTGTCATTTGTGTTAACTCTACTTCATTTTCATCTTTAACTGTAAGTTGTTGAATTGATCCACTATCGATATGTGCTCTTAATCTTGCATTTTCAATTTGAAGAATTTTGTTTATTTCTTGCAAACGAGCAATTTCTGCAGGCACATCAGCAGATCCCATTAATGAAATCTCAGTCTGCGTCTGTCGACTATAAAAAAAAGTTATTCAAAATTCACATCATTTAATTCTGAAAAGCCCAGCCTATCTGTATGCCTCTTTGTGTAATGGACGAAGGCCAAAACTTATTTAAAGTTTATAAAATCATGCTCAAGCCCATCAAATCCGACGATTCTTTACGTCCGTCAATTAATTAATAATAAGTTCCAAAAAAGGCATCTTACCTGACTTTTCTGTGTTTCTTTATCGATTTGTGAGATGCCATATCAAGAGTTTGAAAACGACTTCAAAATGTGTACGTATAAAATTAATTAACACTCAACTATACCACTGTTTCTGTAGTATCTCTCAACTGATTTCAACGGTTTCCAATTTAAATCGGAACCAACAGTTTGAATTGATCTGAACCTCCGACTATATAAGTATCAGAGATGAGTTGAGAGATTGCCACTAAAATATATAGCAGAGATGACTGGAACGCCACCAGCGGGTTCCGTTCGAACTGTCCTTGAAGTCATCCCCACTATTAGGTGTACAGTTCTATTACACATTTTTTTCTTCATAGAGAACTATCCTTAGATACTTACGGAATATGTACAATAATTAAAGGTAAATAATGCGAAACGAACATCATGATTTTCCTATACAGAAATATAACATTCTGTTAAACTATTGTCCTACCGATAAGGTTTGCCCTACCACTTCCCTGCATTTCACTGAACTTTTCTTTCGGACTGTACAAATTATGCGCACGCATCGCTTAAACAAGGGCAGGTATATTTTCTCTGAGGGTGAAACAATGATGGAGAGCCACCCATCGTGTATCTTCATCGCACCTGATCACACCAATGCTTACTGAACTCTGTGTGACAAGTATGCAGAGACAGCCAAATCTATCTCTTTTTGGTACAAAGCTCGCCGTGTATTCTAAACAGTGGTGTGAGCATTCCAGTTTACTATACATTTTAGTGGTATAGACTTCTAGCAGCCAACTCCACGTCGATCATGAAGATCTCAGCGCTCTCCAATAGCTTGAGCAAAGCACGAACTAACGACGTATTTTACTCCAGTTCTTGGCCGATATTGATTCCAAATCAATACTTCTCAAGCGTTTTTGAGCATTTTTGCAATCTTAGATCTTTCAATTGAAGTCTCACAATTCGATTTGTATGTTTCATTGTCAATTCATCAACAATTAGTTATCGTATGGATTTTAAATGCAATGTAAATTTATGCCAATAAATTAGATATTCAAGTTATCGACCCGGTCCAAATCAAAACTCCTTAAGTAGGTTTTCCTACGCTGGATAACGTCGCATAGAGTATGCTACATTTTTTACCTAGAAGTATACATTCTGTTACATGAAAAGTTTGACCTGTTTTTTAACAGATGGTGCAGGATACCTCGGTGAAGAATTTTCGCGCGCGTCCAAGTTTATCACGTGCGACTCCGAGAATCAATCCGATCCTTTATCACGAGACATTCTATCGCGCGACGATCATCGATATCGTTATATTAGCATTGTTTCAAGGTCAACATGTGGACATCAATGCCTACGAATCTTATCATTTTACATCTCGAAACGTTTTTAAATGTCACGTTTACAAAAGCTTGTTTAAAAAAGATATAACATTCTAAGAATAACAGTACCGGGTCGAAATTATTTTCATACTTAACAAACTACCGTCCTTTTCTAAGGTCAAGCTGTTTTGTATATAATAACCCAAGCGAGGGCCTCCTCCAGCACGAATAAATTAATAATACATTAACATTGATTTTCAGAAGATATTCGCCATGGTCATTTTCGGCGTTAGATCTGAAACAGCCAAAATGAAGAGTTTTTTCAAGTTTAACTGGCTTTTCTCTGGAAATAAAGAAAAGTAAAAATGTTGCCGGTCGAACGTGGATTCGCAATGGTTATTCGGCGGCGACGCAGGTCGTTCACTTCCAGCTGGATTCATCCCTGAAATTGAATTAAGGGGCGCCACTAGTCGACTCGACGAGCGTCGCCGCTCGCCGGTATAATGAGACTGAAAAAAGTAACAAGACAGATCTTAATTCCTTCTTTCTTTCCGTCGCGGTGTCTAAAGCTAACGATTAGATAAGCCGCCGGTTCATAGTGCGTCCGAGATGCAGACCTCATAAGAGACCGTGATTCTCCACAGTCGGTCTCAGTTTACGCCGTGTGTGCATGCCAGCAAATGTGAACTTTCGCTTCGATCGAGAGGACATTTGTTTGTAAAGAGTGCCGTGTCGATGTGGGGAACCGTATTAGCGACGGAACCCAGTGCCGAGAGGAGAACACTCGAGCAAACAGAAACCTCACTCAACGGAGATTAAAACCAACGTCCATCAGACTTTACCATACATTCCGTTAAGCCTTCCCCTGGGATTCCAAAAGTTAAATCCATTGAATACGCCTGCGTCTCGGACCGCCGAAGAAAAAGAATCGAAAAGGAAGAATCCGATGAAGAAGATGTGGGGCACAGCTTTCGAAAAGCCTTGGCCTTTCGCAAGTAAGCTCTAACGTCCTGAACGTTTCGAGCCAGGGACTTAAAGGAAAGGAAAAGAAGAATAGCATCCGTCGCTCTTAACGGAGAAGAAATGAAAGCGGTAAACTGATCTGCCTGGATTTTTAAGTCCCCCGAGTTTTGAGTGGACCTTGGTCAGAAATGATTCTTGGTTGAGTTCGAGCGGTCCGGCAAAGTCTGGCAAAGAGTTGGAATCCAGAGAAGTGGGAGACTATTCGCGGTATGAACCCATATCTCTTAGAGTTCGGCTTCCTCGAGGATTTAGGACAGCTCTGAGGAGAGCAGAGAATAGAGTCTACCAAGGGTGAACAGTTCGGATAAACCAGGAACCATGCCGGCCTGCGCTAGCGAGAACTTTTCCAAATTCTGGTCGTCCAGCCCCCCGACTTCCAGAAGCAACAGTGCCTCACCCCCGTTGCCGGGTTCGCCCTTGTCGACGTCGCCGCTTCACACGTCGCCGGTATCGACCTTGAAACGCTCCATCTCGAACGTCTCCTCGGCGTCGAACGCCTCGAACCTATCCTGCGTGTCCAACAACTCGTTGGCACCGACGGTGATCTTTTCACCGCGCAGACAACACCAGCGGCAGAACTCTCGTCAGCAACCCCATGGCGAGGATCGGCGCTACTTTCTCCCAGTGGACATCTTCGGATGGTACCTGGGCCTGATAGTGAGTGTCTTGAAGACCATCTACAACCTCGTCACCTACATAGTACGGACTCCGGCCCTGTGGACCTCGGCCTGGATCTACGTCTTCTGGATGATCCTGCAGTTGCCCCTGACGGCTCTAAAGTGGTTCATCACCGCCTTGCATACTCCAGCCTCTGAACGCGCCCGGAACAAACGGTGCGTCCTCATCAGCGGAGGTAGCACCGTCCAAGCGGTCCACCTGGCTCGTAACTTCTACAAGGCCGGAGCCAGGGTGGTGGTCTGCGAGATAGAGGGTTTTTTCGGGTTAGCCCGCTTCTCCACGGCATGTTCCAGGTTCTACACGGTCCCGAAGCCCGGGCCCAGCAGCACGGCCGAGTACGTCAAGGCCCTCAAGGACATCGTCCAGAAGGAGCGGGCCTCCTACTATATCCCGGTCAGCGTGACCAACACCGCGTACTACGACGCCCTGGCCAAGCCACATCTGGAGGTGATGGGTTGCGAGTGCTTCGTCCCGGGAGCTACCGAAGTGACCGCCCTGGACGACCCGTTGGAGCTGCTCAGGTGGTGCAGGACTCTAGGTCTGCCTACTCCGATTCACTTCGTCCTACGCTCTGCGGAAGACGTCGCCAAGCTATACGAGAGAGGCGTCCTGCGAACCGGACGCCACGTGATGATGGCTGCCGGTCCTGCCGGGATGCGAGACCGAGCCAAGCTTCCTCTTCCTCCCACCGCCAGAGAGTTCAGGGACCACCGCGAGATCAGCGAGAGGAGACCCTGGCTGGTGATGCGCGACCCTGGGGACCAACACTTCCTAACTTGCACCACGGTCAAGAACTCCAGAGTGATGGCCAACATCACCTGCCTGGTGGATGAAAATCGGGGCCTGGTACCCGAAGAACGACCCGACGTCGACCGCTGGTTGGAGAGGTTCTTTGCTCGCTCTTTTGGGAACCGGCTGAACGGTCATCTCAGCTTCCGCCTGGCCACTTCCGAGGAAAACGGCGAGCTGGTGGCCATCGGGTGCAGGGTCGGAGTCGCCTTGCCTTACATATGCCATACCAGCGTACATCCACGACTTGTCTGGCGCCCGTGCAAGCACTTCTGCAAGCAGAACTCCGGACCCTTAGTGCTGAACGAGCGGTACTTCCATCACGACACCTTGGCCAATGCCCAGAATGGACCCACCACCGACACCGCGACTCACCTCATGGGCACCGTCCTCGATAAGAGGGAGGCCCTCTTCGTGTATTGGGACCCCTTGCCCTACTGTGCCTACTATCATCTCCAACTTCCGTTCAGGCACATCGCCGGGGTCATCAGAGCGCAACCCGCCCAACACGCGCCTCCACTCGCTGTAGTGCAGTAAAGCAATCGACATTGACTATTCCCTATTTATTAACGAACTGTTCCCCGGAAGTGTCGATCAAGCTGAAACATAAGTACTTTCTATTGTGTACATACATAAAATTGCACACGTGGTAGGTCCTCTGGTTTGGCAAAAAGCTTTTGGGATTCTCGCCACGTGCGCAGCCTTCTTGGCAGCGACTTCGTCAAAGCGTCGTTTTCGCTCCGAGTACCATCATTCGCTGCCAGTAGAATAATCAACCCCGACTATATTTATTGACGAATGTACTCCCAAAATTACTGGACAATCGCGAAGCGGGAGGGATGAAAGTGTGAATGATGCGAAGGAACCACGTTGCCTGGACAAGTTTTGGATTAGGTTCGTCGACGTGCTTTATTGGGAAACTTGGACGCAAAAATTCGTGAAGCATCGAATGATTTCCACTTCAACAGAGAGAGAGAATGAGAGCGGAGGTTATCGGATTATTGAATGTGCGATTGTATTGACTGAAACGCTGCGCCGATCGAACGAAAACGTTTATGAACATCGGTCTTGGGTCTTTACTGACTGGTTGTAAAGAACATAGGATATATACGATGAAATCTCATGTAACTTATGACAAAGTTTAATGCAGACACGACACGCGTCCACTTGTAAATAGCGTCACACTTATGCTGTATGTCAACGAACGTCTTTCCTTCTGAGGTCCAGCGTTGTCCCTTGGGTTTCCGATTAAGATCTCGATTGTAAATTGAAAAATGATTATAAAATTAACATGCAAGTCGAGTTGTCACGCATGTTCGACGCCTTATTAGAAATTTTAACTAACAATCGCTGGGCTTTAAGAAGAGTGTATTCAATTGGAATTAAGTTAAGTAGCGATAATTGCATTAGGGCGCAGCAAGATCTCCCTATTAGCGAATGGGATTTGCGAAAAACATAATTGCGATGACAATCGGATTAGAGCTTTTAATAATTAGTTAACTGATTTTTAAATTAAAAAAAAAGATATATAGGGTCGAGCTGCACTTGTGCGAAAACCTTCGTGAAAAGCTGGAACGAAAATCTTTTGCACTCTGTTTAAATAAAAAGGAGGCGAGGTCCATTCTGATAACTGATTAACCTTTTGAGTGACAAGGAGCGATAGGTTTAATACCTTATATCTTCGTGCAGAAGCTTCGAAGCGCTTTGAAAATTCGATAATCCGCAAATTGTTAATGCATATCGAATTCTCTCCAACGAAGTACCACTGAATAACTCCAGCTCAATAATCAATCCGAAGAGCGGCCATCTACTTTTGATTTCGAGCTTATTCATTACTTCCCCCTGTTTAGGATATCATTGCGAACCTAAAATCCAATTTGGAATTAAGCCAGCACAGATTTGTACAAATGACTTAGGAACCCGCTTAACGTCCGTCACGCGATACGCGACGTTTCAATGAGCCCAATAATTCTATTTATATTAGATTCGTCTAATAAATTCGTAGTATTTTACACTTATAAGGTTCCAGAAACGAATATGCGATATACTGTGATGGCCCTTACGGCCGGAATACACTTTAAAATTTTAATAAATTATGGAAAAGAACCTGGCCTCTTTACTTATCCCGAAACTTCCCTTTCCTCGCACATAATCCCGCATAAATTTTACAAATATATTAATAAACGAGAAAGATCGAAAAATCGTCATTAAAGGTATCCTTATCCAAGTATCCTTTTAATAGTCACGTATATTAATGATACCAGCAATATTCAGCGCCATTGAGACCGTGCGAAGGGCATCGATTTGGTCACAGTGGCCGAGGTCTTCGGGAAATCGCTAATTAACCGTCTCTAAGATTGGCGACAAAATTAAAATGTGAATTAATTAAAGAAAACGATAAGGCAGTCATTTTCTTAACCTGTGATACTTGACTCTACAACCCCTGCTGGCCGTTTTCGATCTCTCCAATACTTGGAAGCTAATATCGGAGCGTGCAAGTACGAGGCTCACATGCACGCGTTATATCTCGTGTATTAGTGAAGCCGTAAATAATATTTATTATAGATGGATGGATGACCCGGTGTTACCCGGACTGACGGACTTTGACAGCCCGGGGTCGTCTTCCAGCGATACCCGCGACATTATCACCCCTTTCCTTCCTCTCTCTGCGGTATCACCTCGGACACAAGCAAATGATTGATTAAGTGTCCACCACTCGACATCGATCATTATTGTCGTGCCAGTATAAACTCCAGAATATATTTAGCTAATGAAGAATAGCTTCCCCTATATATAAACCTCTCGTTAACGTGAATGAATTCTGAGATATAATAATTAATTGTCGGAGAGGAGCAGGGACGCTGCATTTTAATTGTTATGAATATTTTCTTGACACTACCCTAAAGGGCGCAATAACCCCGGATATACGGAAGTGCAGTACCTTGACAACCGAACGCAATAAGTCGATATTTCCTCTTATTTTATCCGATAGCGACCGTTCAAGATGGACGATGGTTCCGACGCTATCATTCGACCTGAATCGCCTCAGGAACGTTATTGCAGGTTTCCAGACGGTCGAGTTTCCCTCGTGAATTCATGGCTTTTCGCTAATATGCTCGCGTGATTCTATGAACGCAGAAATATCACGGGTGTCTTTTGGGCTGTTATTATTAATTCCAGTAACCTTTGATTTAGAGAATAGTGGAGAAGATGAAGGGATTATCGTTACGGTGTACGGTCGCTTTCGATTTGCACGAAATTACCAGAAGTGAGGATGAAGTATTTTAAGAAATTTATACAATATTATATTTATTATTCTGATTTTATATACTGAATGGTATAACAGATTGTACCTCAGTCTAGAGATCATTGTTTTTCAGAATCTCGCATCCTTAAAATTACATCTTCAGGTGCGGTCTCTGAAATTCAAACGTTAATCGTGGAAATGAGATCAGAATCGTACTTACAAATTCTCAGATGGCGGGACTTATTTTTGTCGGTTTGGGATCAACAGGAGATATTTTCAACCATACCGGTAGGGCCAAGTCAGGACCTCTGATTCGATAACGAATGGCGACCAGGAAGAAGCGTAGTCATTTCCTCGAGTAGGGTGTACCTCGTGGCTCCAGGTACGGCGTTGTGGGAACCAATTCACCTGACTGGCATACCAATGGTCTACTTACTGCCAAACCACTTACAGCTTACTAACAGTTGTGAGCTTCGATATCCTCTCCTGGTCGTTTAGTTCCGGTTTCAGATCCCCGAGAACCTCCTCCGGAGTTATGAATCAATTAATCGGCTCATGCTCCCGAACGTTAGACGGTAACCAGGTGGAGATAATGCCCTGGCACTCCTCTTGTGCCTTATCGTCGCATCGCTCAAATATATTCGACGCGAAACTCCACCTAATTTCTTTACAAATAAATTTATGTATTTTTCTCCCATTTCCTCATAGCTTAAAGATTCACCGGATAACCTCCGGGTTTCAAAATTAGCCGAAGGAAAGAGAAAATAAATCATTTCTCGACAATTTTAGAGCATAGAGGGAGGAGAGCTCTAGGATTCGCGGCTTGAGCAGTTGCGAGCGTTCCGATTAGACTCAGTGCATACAAACTTACGAGTTCGATAAGAGGATCTGCCTGCACAAACAACATAAATATATCCACCATTTCTGATGGCGTAAACCTGCAACTCAGCGGAGAGGTCAAGGTTGTCTCCTTTAGATATAAGATGCAAGCTTACGATGTATAATAATGAATCACTAGGGAAATATCTTAAAAAATATCATTTTAACGTAATGAGACCAATCCTAGATTCTTCTTCCTGTACGTTCCTGTTCACCTGAAATTTTACCGAGATCTGCTGCGGGACACTTTGTTGTTCCGTTCTTTCATTTATTCAAGATTCTGCAGCTCCTTCTCGAAGACCCTTTCCAACCTCTTCTGACTTTCTGCAAGAGGACAGGGGTGCCGGTACAATCTAATCGGCGCTAAGAGCTCTCTCCAGGAATAAATTACTGGAGGGGACTAATATCACGGCTAATAATGCGTTATTGCTAGCCCGACAAGGACCGGCAGACGATAAAACTGTTTTCCCAGTCTGCTGCCGTGACAATCCAACAATTGTTGTATCGTCGCTCGCCCCGGTATCTTTTAATAGCCGCTTACCGAGCCGGCCACTTCCTGTACGAAGTCTCCTCTCTATCATGGGACTCGGCTTGTGCTCTCATCTCGTTCTCATAGCTGTGCTTCTTGGTGGTACCTTCGCCGAATACTATGGCCCCTGTCTGCGAGAATGGAACGACGAGCTCTTATGGTCCTACGAGGTCCGGAGGTCTCCTAAAGCCGGAAGCGCCCAGGTAAGCACTGTCACTTGAACGTTAATTTTTCATCATTTTCCTTAGAGAAAAATGATATCCATTTCATACGTCCTAAATTTGAAAGCTTACCGTGTATTTGGGACAATCAACTCATCTGGGATATACATTCGCTTGAAACTGAAAGCGGAATATTTGTGATATAATTAGAACGATTTATCTATTAGTATGTACGTTGGTGAATTTGTCACGTGCACTTGAAGTCTTTTAGTGAATAGAATTGTTCTCCATTTTTAGACTTGGTGTCTGTATTTAGGTAGCGGAAGCGGAGTATGGACCAGCGCCGATAGTGATAAGTTGCATAGACATCGAGTCCATGCTTCCGGAGGACAATATGACGGCGTGGTTAACAAGGGGCGGCGTGGGAAAAAACTTCGTCACCCTGAAATTCGGCTCAAGATATGACCGAGGACTTCATTACAGAGTTTCCGTCTACGGGAGCAAGGCTTTTAAATGAAGAAGAAGGAGACTCGACAGTTCTCCGAGAGCGTTATCTGCCCTTGACCATGACAAGTGTTCACTTTCGAAAAGCACTTCTGGACTTTTGATAACCTCTTTCCGAATATCGCCAAGAGGGCGAGACGCTTTCGTAACAGCTATTAAGAATACATTGGAAAGTCGATTATTCAAAATAATGGAAGCAAATAATTCTCGAAGATAGAAGGAACGATGATACTTCTATCCCTTGGATGGAGCTTCTATCACTTTCAATACTACATATTTTTAATAATGAAACATACCATGAATGTTCTACAATCAAAGTATTAAAGTACGACTTACTTATCTGAAATCGTCGGCATGAATGGACGCGTTAATTAATAATAAAACCAGGTTTATAATAAATGCACCGAACTGTGCACGCGTTTGTAGCAATCACTGAACATTGTTCCTGCGATTGAGCACAGCCTTATCGTAATTTATTCTCCCAAATTTCTCATTCTATCAGTCTTTACCTTCGCCATGAGTTTTACCCAACATGAAGGATTCAATGTTTCGGTAAACTCGAATCGATTTGTAATCGAAGATGCTAATCAAAGCCTGGAGTCAATCGAGGAGGGCCAATCGGGCTCAAGAAAGTTCGCGTAGTGGTGAGAGTGCGGAAATTCTATCCGGCTTGATCCGGGGCGTTGATTAATGGAACGCGAAGTAACGACGACCGGATCGATCGTGCCACAAGTTCCTGGAGGGTTCTTAAGGATCATTGTCCCTTAAATAAGAATCCTGCCCCCAGGAAATGAAACCCTTAGTCGACCGGAAGACCTCGCGCAGGACGGAATATACGATCGGTTTAATTTCCAAACTCAACCTCGTAAGTGATCTTGGAAAGTGCACTTTCCTCCTGCCAGGAAGTATCCTCGTAAGCTGACGACTTGAATTCGGACGTTCACTGGAAAAGAAGGAAATTAGGTACGATGGCGACACATAGCCAAAATGTTTTTCACTTAGAAAACAGAAAAAAAAATCTATGATGGATATTACGTAGCGCTAACTGTGTAACGATCATTTTTTACGATAGGACCCATATTTTTGATAGCGAAAGGATTTTAGGGACAAGTCTCGGGAGTCGGTGCCTGGCAGTATTTCCGATTATTGGCTGGTTGGATTGCGTGTCCGACGAAACTGTTCCAAAACACGAGGTCGCATGGCAGCCGTAAAGCATCATCTGTCACGGGGCTGCCGGTTCTTTCCTAGGGGATAAGAATGCAGATACTACCCATCGTAAATATACCGGGGACGCGTTTATATCGCGAAGAGCTTGCGACATTTTAATCCAATTCCGTGGCCGCGACCCTCCCTGGATTTATTAATATAGGCTCGATCACGATTCACCACCAGAAGGGGCCGACCCTCGAATTTCGAGATCCTCGCACGTTACAAGAGTTCATCCAGAAACCGAAAATAAATGAGGAAGTATCCGTTCGCCAATTTGAAATTCCCTATCCGGTAAAATGTGCTCACCTTCGAAACTTGAATTTTCCATTAGGCAAACGGTGTCGAGTATCGAAACATGGCGTACAATTTACACCCATACACAGCAACCTCTGACTTCGGTGTCGTGACGACGTCCATCAGGATCGGAGTGGTTTACGAGAGGGCACGGAAGCTTTCTAGAGATCGAGAACCCATTACACATTACACATTACGCGTTTATGGCTCACCTGTGGGCGCGATAAGTACCAGAGCCTCCATTTGGCTTGCCCTGGTGGCTATAATCAGGGAAACGTTAGATCAACGAACACCTGTGTGCTGATAAAAAGAATTTCGCAGGTACCGAACAGGGACTACGAGGTCCTGGGGGATATCGGATGCGGTGTTATCTTCATGGTGAAATATCTAGGAAATAATTTGATCGCGAGTTGGACTTTACAAGTGGCCCGAACTCCATGTCGAAGTCGTTCAAGACCACATCGGGGCCATCCAAGGACCTCGCCATTGCAAATCGTCCTGCACGCTGCAGGGCTCCGATTTGTAGTCCTCTCGACGCCGGGATATTGGAGACGACCGAGGATCATGGCAATACCGATTATGGGTAATTTGTGGAGTCCCCTTTTCGGGGACGATAATTTTCTCAATGCTGTCCCATCTCCCAGCGGTCGCACGCAACGGCAGTACCAGTTAAAGGCTTATGAAGCTCCCCGACGTCAATACCCCATCCCGAAATGACATACATAACGATTCGTCAAAACGATAGACGAATAATTCAGTCGAGGCATCGGGCGTTTCAGTTAAACGTTTCATATCAAGTAGACGAGATTTAAACATATCGAAATTGGGACTTCGAACTTCCTTAAACCGCATTTCTTTCATCGAAATTTCATTCACGAAGATAATCGTTAGTTGAGAAGTTTGCGTGATCACCTGGTACAGTTTTGAAAGGTGAGTAAGTCATGAGAATATAGGCAAAGAACCCATTATAAATCGTTATCATGGGCTCGAGGAGATCCAGGGGGCCCCAAGAGGAGGGAAACGTCTGTCACAGGATTGATAAATATCCCTAACAGCACCGAGCACGCAGTCGAGCTACCCCGTACCAGTTATACCTAATCACAACATAAACAACCGCCAAAATAGCGTACCGAATAAGTCGATATCACCGTGGGGGAGGGGGGGAGATGAGATTCATCTTACAATCTGTGATTTTACCTATTACGAAGGATGAGGGGTTGAGCGAATTGAAATATCTGGGTTATATAGCTGGGAGCAGAGGGTGGTAGAAATGGAGTACAGGTTGTAGATAAACAAACACACGGATAATACAAGGATAAACTCTGAAACCTAATGAAGTCAAGCTGGAATCGAAGAAATAGGTATTGTAATTCGTAAAACGCTCTAGAACGACGGTGCAATCTAAAAAAATCCCTTAATTTGAGATCCACCCCGCGATTCGATGAGTGGAGTCGCGCACGGAGTCTGCGGGGTCGTGCGACCCCGAAGAGGGAGGGCATGGTATAAGGTCGGCAAAGAATTCGACAAGTTCCTTTTCGACTCCTCAGCGAGTCACACGCAGGGGAGCCACCCTGGTATCCGACATCCCCCGTGCCGCCTCCGCCGCCCCCGACGGCGCTGCCAACAGCCCCGCCACCCCCGGGGACGCAGATAGACGCCGTGACACGCGATCCCGGTGCTGGTGCTCAGGATGGCGGTGGAGGCATCGCGACGACTCCAGTTAGTGAAGGCCCACCGTCCGTCCTGAACGCACCCCTAGTCGGGACCTCCACCGGTCGTCCAAGGGTCGGACCAGCCGGGGAAGTCGTCTTGCCACCAGCCCTGTTCGCCGAACCCGGAGAATCTTCCCCAAAAATCCGAAGAAGAACCGAAGCTCGGAGTCTATCGTCGAAGAACATGCCGAGGGTGAGTGTTTCGCGCCCTCTCCCAATTTAAAAAAAAAAAAAAAAAGTACGTACTTCAGATTCTTAATTTACCGAAGATTTATGAAGCTACTCATAGGTTTATGTATACGTATCCTAAATGGAGGAAGTTTGAATTTTGGGATCTCACTGTAAAGACTGTAAATGGGATTGTTATAGTTAAGTATTTCTTTGAGAATTGTATTTTTCTTTTTTTTTTTTTTCTGCAGGGTGTTTTACCGAGCGTCATTACGGTCATTGATTTTTTTAGGACGTCCTTCATGACGCGGGTTTCAGAATATTCATACGGTGGGGAGGGTCACTCCACGTGTTCCCCTCATCCCACGTGTCCAAACCGGACGTGTGACCGATTGTCCTCCACCTAGCAATTGCTTTCTTCCCCCCTTGTAACGGGCTTATTTATTATTTATTATTAATATAGCGAACGGATGAAAAGTAGGGAACTCGAGATTGGCGGACGCGAAAAACGTGCGTGCGTGTTACCGCTTAAGTTGCGAAAGAACGTTCAACTCACACACGTGCGATTACAACCTGCCGACTGTGCATATGATCGATACGCGCAGTTATGAGATTAGCCGAGTTTTTATTTTCTCGAGGCATGCATGAAGCATGTATCGTTAAATGACAACCTGCCGAAAATACTTAAAATCTGAGGAAGCTGAGAGTATATTTATTCGAATGATGGAAATTTTAGAAAATGGATTTATCTCGACGATGGAAATTTTAGAAAACGGATTTATCTCCTCGTATTGCCACACAGTATTCTGCAAATAATTGCAACTAAACGATTGATCGGCGCATTATCGGTCGTTTTTGATTTTCCCGGGGATTTTTACCAGTTCTTGTGTAAGTTAGATGAGGGTTATCTCCTAACGGTATGGTAAAGACTTACATCACCGGGGTCGTGATAAAGAACACCCTTTTCCGATGGGGCATTTTCGCCGCTGATGCTCTCTCTCTCTCTCGAGAAAAAAAAAAATCATCGATTTAAGTTACCGGATATGCACTCTTTCCGGGCAATATCAGCGAATTGTTACGTTCCGAATAAATGCGATAATATCGCGCATACCACTGACTTTACGCTCGATCTTACAAACAACGCGTACGTACATTCCACAGATAAAGTGTATTTTCCAGCACGGCTTTTGTTATCAGTCAAATAAATTTATTCATCATTGACGAAGCCGGTCATTAGGACTATAAAATATTGTCCCGTATAAAAATCCCCATCTCTCGTCTTTATCGCGACGTGTCAATCACGGTTGAAATGTAGCGATTGACTGCAAGCATGTCAAAAGAACGGCCTGGCGCCAACAACTCGTTACGTGACATCGTTCTAAGTCTAACGATTCGCCGAACTTTGGACGCGACAGTACTCTTTGCACGCCGACTTGCACCGAGCAAATTGATCTCCCACGAAACGTCTTATCCGGAATGTCCATTAGAGGTAAATCCAATCCTCTCGCGCGATGCTTTGAAACAAAACAGAAAAAGAAAAATACACATTCAATTTAACCAAACATATATCTGTATATATACCCAACTATACAAAAGAAATATTAATAACCTACTACTCTCATAGATATAAAATTTTCCATCCAAATTTTCACCCAAAACCTTAATCTCAATACATAATCCAAGTCTTTAAATATTACGCCTCATAAAATCCTATGCTTAAAATTTTTTTTTTTTNTAGAAATGGTGGTTTTGTCCATCTCCTTATCGAGCATCGATTAGTGTCGAGTCGAGCTGCATCTTTCTATGTGCGTCCTGTCACGCACGCAATGGGTTAGAGGGACATGCGTTACCCCGGGAATTATTTTTTCTTTTTTTTTTTCTATTGAAATGGTGGTTTTGTCCATCTCCTTATCGAGCATCGATTAGTGTCGAGTCGAGCTGCATCTTTCTATGTGCGTCCTGTCACGCACGCAATGGGTTAGAGGGACATGCGTTACCCCGGGAATTATTTTTTCTTTTTTTTTTTCTATTGAAATGGTGGTTTTGTCCATCTCCTTATCGAGCATCGATTAGTGTCGAGTCGAGCTGCATCTTTCTACGTGCGTCCTGTCACGCACGCAATGGGTTAGAGGGACATGCGTTATCCCGGGGAATTATAAAATCGGCCTGTCAACGTCAACATTGGGTTAATTGCGTCACGTGGAATCCAGAGACACGGTGAACATTGACCGCGGTAGTTTCCGCGGATGCGAAGCGTTGACTCCGTCTCGTCTGGTAGACTTTGCACCGCAGTTCCCAGACTAGTGAACTCCCGCTGGTGAACGCTCATGTACGCGGGCAATAAATCAGTCAATCCTGGTGAATGTTATCAGTAGTTGGGCCCTGGTAAAACCCTGTCGATCCGGCCACATTCCCGTATCGAGGAGCCCTCATCTTAGCCGCTGTTACCGCCTCTGCTATCACCCCAACAATTCTGCCGTACAACTTCCCCTAATTATCTCGGCAACGTTCGCAGAGATTGCACTTCCCAGGGGAACTTCCTCCGTTCTTCACGCACGACCAGGGGAAACTTCAATTCCTACGTGTCTAATTTGCCCACGTTACGTTGCCTGCAAATTGCAAGATACGAGGAGTTCCCCTTTTCCCTCTCCTTCTTTTTCTCCGTGATACGAGTTATCGGGACACGTGGGAGTCACGTGGGAGGCAGGGCGGATTTCCATGCAAGAGTTGGGAGCGAATGACTAACCGAGTATCCGGGGACTCGTGAAGGTCTTAAATTGGAGACTTTTGGACCCATCTTTTATGGGGTTCCGATAAGCAGGGCTTTCAAGGTGTAAATCACTCTGCAAGCGATCTCGCATCCCATCGAACCTTATCTCTCATGGCTTTATCGTTTCATGTCGATCCGTCACCCGTGTCATCTCTCACGGTCACGGCCACCGATTGCAGGTTGCTTTTCGACGTTATTCGATGGCGATATCTCGAATAAACGGGAATTCCCTCCCTCCACTCTATTCACGACATGGTCTTGGACCGACCTGAAAAGCATTTTTCATCCCAGCGAGAAAAGCTCGAGAAAAAAATTCCATCTCCTTTCCTAGATAGTCGGAGTCTTCGGTGGCAACGGTACGTCCTGCCGAGGCAGCGTTTAAGTCGCTAACTCAGCTAATTAATCTATTAACATTGCTAATTAGTTGGTGCGTTAGTTAGCGGTAAACATGTTTACCATCTCTGTATCGGCACAATAAATTTCCTTGGCGAAGACACTTTGACTCGAGTGATCTCTTTCGTTTTTTGGCTCGCAGACTTTTTTTGAGTGACCAAAATCGCCTCGCGGCAGAATCATCCGAGAAGTAGCAGTTGTTTGGCACGACATTATTATCCGTATCGGGAGAGGAAGATAGGGCAGGGTATGTACATACATGCCAATACGTTCCGCGTGTGTTGACCCAGGGAATCCTTGTCTGCAAAAATCCATTGAGATACCAACCGATGGTTCAATCCAGTTCATTGTGTTGCCACGTTGACTGCTCAAATTCCATGACTACTGGCCGAGCTAGGCGCTCGTAATTTGTCACTCTTAATATAAATCATGTGAATTATTGCTGACTCCAAAGTCGAGCTCGAGTTGGAGCCCCCTCGTATCTCCTGTCCGGGACTCGTTCTTAACATTCAACCGTGTATTAATATCTTGACCGATAGAGGAGCAAAGTTAAGACTTCCTTGAAGTCCAATTAATTTTTATATTACCGCCCCAGAATGGTCGATTTTAATTAATTAACTTTTGCTCTCGATTTCTCCTCGCTCGACGACTTCTGATTGCAAAGGTCTCACAGGATTCGTTATTCCGAGGCGATTGAGAAGAAGCACGTATTCGTTAACGAGGGTTCCGATTAAGTGTTTATTTTTGCCTCGATGCTGTCATAGTTAAGCTTGACCGAAACACAGGATTTCGGAGCCGCTTCATTTCTTCACTCAATTATTTTCCTCTTGCTCGTTCTTCTATTCTTCTCCCTTTACGCAAGTCATTAACGCGATGCAGGGATTAGGAATTAGGAATCGTTTTTCTCGGTCGTTCCATTTCTGACCTCCCGGGTACGAATTAACATTAGTTGGACGTACAGTTTATCTCTTCAGGATTATTGTCCAGGTGTGAGATTCCCATGGGTGGTTGCGGTTTGCGTGCAATCCCCGAAATTAATCGTCACACATGTACGAGGTAAATTCGCATTCGATCAGAAGCTTCCTCCCTCGTTCGGCGAGCGTTGAACCGAGCTCCGAGGAATTTTATTAGAATATTAGTTGACCCCAATCCCCCGAAATGGGACTTGCCAAATCGGCAAAGTTTTAATTAACTTCCAGGCAGAAATCCTTCCCACGGCCAAGGAAGTTCCTCTAGCGCGGGGGATCTCCTTCATTACGCCAATGAAATTATTTTTTCGCTTTCTACCTTTTTTCCCCCGGGCATGGAGCCAACCTGGTGAAGCAACTTCCTTGCGAATCCCTGCAAATTGGTACTAACACCGAAAGAAAATGAAGAAGACGAAGCATACTTGAAAAGCTACAAAAATGATGAATAAATTCGGTCACGTGAAATCACGCTCGCTCCAACCCCCTCGATTCACCCAACTCACCTCCATACAAAAAGATGTATCTCTTGTGTCCCTAATTCTCTTATCCTTTCTCAAAGTGTTCGAATTAATTGTAAAAACACCAGTCTTTAAGGTGATATGAAAGGGTCATTCTATATACATAAAACTCGATTCACCCAACTCACCTCCATACAAAAAGATGTATCTCTTGTGTCCCTAATTCTCTTATCCTTTCTCAAAGTGTTCGAATTAATTGTAAAAACACCAGTCTTTAAGGTGATATGAAAGGGTCATTCTATATACATAAAACTCGATTCACCAACTCACCTCCATACAAAAAGATGTATCTCTTGTGTCCCTAATTCTCTTATCCTTTCTCAAAGTGTTCGAATTAATTGTAAAATCACCAGTCCTTAAGGTGATATGAAAGGATCATTTTGTATACATAAAACGTCCAAATATAAAACTTTTCTCCAGACTGGGTACACCGAATAATTTGAAACTTCAACACGTGATTATAGAGGTCCTGAAGAAGAACGTGGTGCTCATGAAATTTCATTTTTGATACAAAAGAAAATGTTTGTATGTATCCCACACTAAAACCAAGAATACATATTCTTTCTTTTTTTTTATGAAATTTCATGAACACCGCATTCTTCCTTAAGGCCTCCACAATCACATGCTGAAGTTTCGAATTATTCGGTGCACCCAGTTTGGAGAAAAGTTTTATAAATATTTTGACGTTTTATCTATATAGATAAAAGATATAATGACCCTTTCGTATCATCTTAATGTCCGAATTACAGTCTTAGAAAATTTTAAGATACGACCGGAACTTGACTCGATGCATCAGACTTGGGCGTTTCTCGAGGTGTATGATCTTAATGTGCAAATTACATTCTTAGACAATTTCAAGTCATGACCGGGACTCGACTCGATGTATCCGATTTCTTGGGCGTTTACTCGAGGTGTATGATTTTAATGTCCAAATTACATTCTTAGAAAATTTCAAGTCATGACCAGGACTCGACTGGATGTATCCGATTTCTTGGGCGTTTACTCGAGGTGTATGATTTTAATATCCAAATTACATTCTTATAAGGAAGGTATCTCAGGTCGATCTCTCCGATTTGATTTATATTATGATATGTTATAGTAGACTAAAAACTAAGCGACACGTATTTTTGTTTAATCTGATATTAAACACTTTAAGGGGGTGAAACCACCATCCAATGTAAGGCATATCAAGGGGCGATTTGGCAGTTTCACCCACAAGAACATAATATTTTTTAACCGATCCACCTGGAAAAGCTTTCTCATAACGAGAAATGAAAAATATAATTTTCTCAATTAAAAAAAATTAAAGGGGTGAGCCACCCCTAAACATGATTACGTTTATGCAAAAAATGGTCAAATTCAAGTCTAAAAATCTGAAAAAAAATATATGTTGTGTATAAACACGAAGGAAATACGACGTGTCTTTGGATTTTCCCGAAAAAGATATTGGCCGAGGCAACTGCTCACCCCTGTGAGGGGGCACACCCCTTAATTTTTTTTTTTTAATGAGAAAATTAAATTTCTCATTTCTCGTTATGAGAAAGCTTTTCCAGGTGGATCGGTTAAAAAATATATATTCTTGTGGATGAAACTACCAAATCGCCCCTTGACATGCCTTACTTTGGATGGTGGTTTCACCCCCTTAAAGTGTTTAATACCAGATAAAAAAAAATACGTGTCGCTTAGTTTTTAGTCTATTATAACATATTATAAAATAAATCAAATCGGAGAGATCGACCTGGGATACCTTCCTTAGAAAATTTCAAGACATGACCAGGACTCGGCTCAATGCATCAAACTTCTTGGGCGTTTGCTCGAGGTGTCGAGTTACACCTGAAGGAAATCCTACAGCGCCGGTTCACCGGCAGTACACGGTAGTGCATCCTCCCGAGCACGTTTATATCGATTGGTGCCATTCAGTGCCAGGTGTTAGAACGCTCTTGGTCCCTGCCCCTTCCGCGAATGCCCCGCAGTCTTACCAACCCTCGACACCACGCGGCTTGACAAGGGTTAACGCCACTTCGGGGTGGTGTTGGCCGTGACCGTTTCGTTCGCGGTGTTCCTTCTCGGTGAAAGTCGCTTTAATCGCGCTCTCAGGTGTGCCCAGGTACACCGAGGTGACCAATCTCGCACGCAAAGAGTTTCGCGGTGATCTCGTCTACACGCCATTGACGAGAACCGGTTCCTCATGAAGACCCTGCGCGGTCGCTTTAGGTATGTTATGGACAACCGGTAAGGTAGGGCGCGAACCTTATCGTGCGCTGGGGTTCCGATCGTGGCTAACACGAGTTATATTACAAGTTATTATAACGTGTAAACGATAAATATCGCATTTTGTGCGAGAATACTTTCTGAAGTGAAACTTCCGACGGTAGGGCATATCGCATGTTATAAAAGGGAACCGTTAAGAGAATAGAAATTTTTGTCCTCTTTTTTCCCTTCTTATTACAGATTTCAGAGATGATCCGTTATAGATTTAGGTCATTTGTTGCTGACTGTGATTGTTATCGGGGAATGTAAGAGTCACAGATCGGGATATAGAGCGAGATACGTCGCAATTGTAGTATCGCGCCGACACGTGAAGCATCGATGAGTTGTATAAAAATATCCATTCCCTAAACATTGGCTCTTACGCAGTATTGTTTCGGACGGGTTACTTATCCGCCGGTAAGATAGCGGGGAGTTGATTTTAGATTAGCTGCTTTACAATAATCTGCGTCAAGCGTGGCTCAGAGGCATAAAACGTAGATCTATCGTGACGACAATTCGATGAATGACGATCGCCAAGATCGATTTTCCTTCCCTTATCTGTGTGCACAGGTCAGTATGGAAATATTGAATAAGAAGTCGGTGAATCGAAAACAGCCGCGAAGAAGACAGGAAATGAGAGAGAAAAGTTGAAGAGAGAATCAAGGCTAATATCCGTCAGACGTGCCATGAATTTTGATCCCGAGCTTCCGCTAATCTCGTTAATGCGGCGACATTCTTTGGCCAAACAAACTCATTATGCAATGTAATTATAGCGCTCAATGTGTTATCGTATTAATAAAAGTGGAGGGCAAAATGAGTAACACAAGGGGGACACAATCGCGTTCTTTTTTATAGCAGCGATATCTTTAATACGACTGATTTTATTGTCATATTAGTATTCAATAGAGTAAAAACTGTCGCGATATTTTAAGCCTAATAATATGAATTAAACGTATATTTTTTAGGGCACACTAGTCATGAACTGCTCATTATCTATGATAAATTCGCCCTAATGCAAGTATTTTTCCTCACGCGAGACCCTGCCAGTCACGGGCTCCATTCGTCCCATTTTTTTCCCCTTTTCTTTGAGCCCTTCCCACATTTTACTTTGCTTTTCACTAAGAACGCTGCACCATTTACGAGTCGCCATCTGTTTTGTCAATACAATCGTAAACTTTTGCCTGCAACTTTAGCCACTTAACTTTTTGTCAAGCTTCTCGTGACCAACGAAAACGTCCTCACCACAGGGCAATTTTATGAATACGTTCCAGACATTATTTATAGGTCTTGTTATTTGCGGAAGTCAGAAAATAAAAATAACTGACGCACCAGTACGTAAGTCTTTTCCACAGGGTACTTTGACTCGTGGTCTATTATGAAATCCACATCTCTTCGGAGACTCTTGATATCCGTGCAGACCAAAAGCCTATTATATAAAAAAAACTGAACTACACGGCTGTTTGGTCTGCGAAAAGAGATAAGGCTATTCGATGTCATAACGGTTTAATGTTTTCACACTTGGATTGCACAACTTTGGCTGACCTACCGTAAATAAAAAGTAAAAATTGAAGATAGCGCTCTTGCTTCGTTCCTAGTATCCCGACATTATCAGTAGCCAAATTCATCAGCACACGGCTGAATTTAATTCATTAATTTTAACAATTGATTTTCGTGAAAACCATTCATTTTTTTAGATATTTGGTGAACATGAAACAATGAAACAATAATGTGTATTTTTCAGGCAGTACTTAAGAGCGCCGCTCTTCTGACGCTGCGAGGGCAGATGGAGAGGCGGCGGCCACCGTTTATTAGGAGTTCCGCGAAAGCTAAAGAGGTATGAAAATATTTTTAATTAAAGTGTCAGTAATTATTGAAGATAACACAAATATGCCGCAATCTTTCAAGTAATGTGAATTATAATTTATCATTTGAAATTTCAAAATCATCGGTAAACTTGTCAAGTGTACATCTAAAGAAAACCATCGTTACCCTGTTTATACTTTAGAGTATTATAGATCGTTCCTATTATTTCGAGAATATTTCAAACTCAAATATTTATCGTGATTTTGCATCGATTTATGATGAATAAATACATTATTTACGAATATTTTTTGCGTTATTGACTAAAGTAGTGCCTCTTCTTCTTTCGATAATGGTCGTCAGCGCCTCAAAAGAAATCGTGTCATGATTCGGAACTATAATAGTAAACAGAAATCGATGAAGAAACCAAACAAATATAACCTCAAATTCAGTTATAAACGAAATGACATTTGAAATACTAAAATATTGTAGTATTCCTACAGCATGCCACACTAATAAATAAACACAAAGGTTATTAGATTATTGGATATTTGTAGAAGTTATGAATATGATATATGCCATTATAGTGCTGTTATACAGATGTAAAGTGTTCTTTAACATTAGATATAGTATTTTGCTCTGCAGTGAATATTGTAATTAATTCTTTTAATTATGCCTTTAGTCAGGACGAAACGGAGGTAGTAAAATGGATCCTGGGTGCTGCGGAGCTTCGAGTAGCGGTGGTGGGGACAGAGCTGGTGACGAGGATCTTTCTCCAGAAGTTCTAATCAGGCAAAACTATGAGTTACGTCATCGTCTGGAAGAAGAAGCTACCAACTACAAGAAAAGACTGGATACCTATCGGCAAGCACAACAGCACCAAGCAGCTCTTGTATCACGGTTACAGGCAAAAGTTAGTTCCACTATTTTATTTTTAAAGATATTACAAATGTAAATTAAATGCTAAACAAATATGAATGAACTCCTGAGATTATTATATATAGAATTATATTATTTTGTTTAATATTTCCTGTAATATGTTTATTTATTAATACCGTTTTTGTGTAGGTTCTACAATATAAACACAGATGTTCAGAGCTAGAAAACCAGATGATTGAATCCGTCCCATGTGAAAGTAGAGTTTCCACTGCAGCAATTCCAAGTTCTACTATTTTGGATGCTGCACATCAGACACTTAGAGAAATCCGAGAAGAACAAATTCAAGATCTAGAAACAGCCTTACACAAACTTGCTGACGAAAGAAAAAAGTAACCTTGTCATACTTTATTATTAATTAACTTAATACATTTATTTAATGAATGTATCGTTGCGTCATCTCTCGATAGTTCATTCATTCACATGTATTTTCATGTTTCAGGTGTGATAAACTGTTGCAGATAAATACGTCTTTAAAAGAACAACTAGAAGAATCTCATCAGACTAATGAAGCTCTTACTAACGATTTACAAAAACTGAGTAACGACTGGGACCTTCTGCGCGAAGAATTAATTATTAAGGAGGAAGAATGGAAGGAAGAAGAACAAGCTTTCAACGAATACTACACTTCGGAACATAATCGCTTACTAAATCTCTGGAGAGACGTGGTTTCCGTGAAAAGGATGTTTTCAGAAATAAAATCGGCAACAGAACGAGATCTTTCAAATTTCCGTCACAAAATGGTTTCTACAGCTACTGACTTATCAACAGCGTGTAATGGTGTTAAAATAGCTATGAAAATTCAAGCAAGTGCAGTGCAACCATCATACACTGTTAGTTACCTTTAACACTTAACAAAACTCTCACACGTAACTATTCTTTATGTAAATCCATAATTACTTTTTAGGGAGGTCATGTACAACCACAGCAAGATCAATTACAACAACCTCAAGCTGCCACCGAATCAAAACCAGATACAGCGGTCTCGAAGCAACAATTTGATGCAGCGCAAAACGAAATCCGCATGAAAGACGAACGAATCAATCAACTGATACGCGAAATTCATAATTTGGTACTGCAAACCGATTTATTTTATGCTCACGTGGAATTTTTAAGATTTTACCGTATAAGACATTTTTGTTTTCCTTTCTTATTTCAGGAAGAGCGATGTGGAGAAGCCGAAGCTGGAGTTGGTCATGCAGTTAGGATGCAAGAGGACGTTGAAGTTTTGCAATCAGCGCTAAGAGATATAGCCCATGCTGTTATTCAAGATGCTGAAGCGCGGGAGGTTGAAAACATACAGACAGGTCCCCACATCCACTTATCACCGAGCGGTCCAGTTCCTCAACGATCTCCGAAAAGAGGCACAAGAAGTAACACCATTCCTGCCTTTGCAGAGAGCACGATCAGTGCTGTTCAAGCGGCGCTTCATAAATATCAACTCACGATACATGAACTTCAGGTATACACAGTTATTCTCCATTTTGTTATATTTCTACTTATGTATTTGATCGTTCAATCGGTTATAATAAGTCCTATCTTGATCATTTATTCAGGTGAAGCTGCAAATGAATAAGGAACAATTGTCACTAACTAAGAAACAGTGCGAAAACGCGGAAGAATGCTCTCAAGCTTTAGAAGAAAAAGTTGCAGAATTGACCACTCAATTGGATGCATGTCGATCTCATTGCACTCAACTCACTCAGGAGAAAGAAATGTTACAAAAAGGCCTTGATACCGTTAGATCTGAAAAGAATAACCTTGATAAAAACAGAGTGGAAATTAACAACATGGTATGCCGTATTCTCAAGTAATTTCTTACCATTCATTCTTATTTTAATACATCGTACTTATTTCCCATTTAGATGGAAACATTGAACATGGAGTACGAGAAACTCCAAAAGGCTCACAGTAAATTGCAAAAAATGTATGACAGTCTTGAAGATGAGAAACTATATCTTCAAGGAGAGCTCAGCAAATCTTCAAAAGATTGTGAATTACGGTATGCACGTTATCTTTAAATAATATCAGTAAATACAAGTTTTAAAATTAAAAAAAAAAAATATACGTGCATGTGTGGTCCAATGTCGATGTCCGATTTTCACAGAGAAATAAATCTTCGTTCAGAAGAAGAACGGTGCAGCAGATTGATGGAAGAACTTTTAACATTACGCGAAGACTTAAATAAAGCTTACCTAGCTAAGGATATGCTGGAACAACAAAAATTAGAAGCAGATACATTGATTTCTCAGATTGAAAAAAGCAAAGGTAATATAAATTATTCTTTGTCTGTTTTTTTTATCCCTTCTCTGCTCACATTGCATAGGAAAACTCTCCGATCTTTAGGTGATTCTGATCTCGAATTGGAGCGCATACTTTTGGAAAAATCCGACATTCAAGAAGTATTGGTAAAGGTGGAAGCTGTTTGTGCTAATCACGAGCACGATAAGCAGAGATTACAAGAAGAACTGAAGAAGGTAAATCGGTGAAATTATCTATTAATGATTAGCAATTTATTAAATTGTTATGGCGACGATGACTGCTATTATTGAATGTACAGGTGGAAGAAGAAAAGAGCAAGCTCATGTGTCAAAATACCGATCAGCAAGGAGACCTAGCTTCTTTGAGAAAAGAACTTCTGCAAGCGGAACAAATACGATTGGATCTTGAAGCCGATAAAGTAACTCTGACTGAAAAAATTAAATTCTTGGAGATCGAAAAGGAAAAGGTTGAACTGGAATTGGGACAAGTAACTAGAGAACGAGGAGATTTAAGTAATCAGTTGTCAGTTCTTGCCAGAAAGAAAGAAGCATTGAATGAAGAATTAATGAGAGTTAGACAGAGACTAGAACAAGCCAATGAAATGAATGCTAGACTCAATAGGAATTTAGAAGACCTTGTAAAAGACAACGAAGAGAAACACGTAAGGGAATAAATGTCGAATGAAATAACGTCATAACGTTACAACTATTTAATTTAAAATTAATAAGATATAAAGAGTAGAAATAGATTAATTTCATGATATTTTTCAGATGATAATAGAAACCAACGAAAAAGAACTACAGCGATTGCAGGAACAGCTCTGTGCAGTACGAAGCGAAAAAGAAACATTGGAAGCAGTGTTATTTGATACACAAACTAATTTAGAAGCGACGCACATAAAGAAGGTTCAGCTGGAAAAGGATAAGCAAGACTTATTGATTAAGCAAGAGAGCTTAAAAGGACAAGTGGCTAGACTAACCAAGGAATTAGAAAACAGTGAAAAACGCGCACACGACATCAAACAAACACTGACTCAGCAATGTGGAAACCAAGAAGCAGAATACCAACAGATAATTTCAAATATGAAGAAACAAAATGAGGAGAACGTTAAAAAATTAAGCGATGAGAAGGTGATGCCGAATTACAATTTGAACATATCATTAGATTCAAACATAAATATAGAAAACTTGATCATTTGGTTTCAGGAACAAATAAGAATATCGTTGGAAAAACGTCTTCAGCAGACCGTATCCGAACTTGGCGGAGAAAAAGACGACGAAATCGCTCAGTTACAACGGAGGATAGAAGAATTACAGGAACATATTGAAACAGTGTGTCAACAGCACGAGGAGGTCCTTCTCCGTGCTGAAAACGATAAGCAACAAGCCTTGCTAATGGGTAATTGACATGCCTAAGAGGTTGTACAGAATTAGGTACAAATGATATTAAATCTGTATCTTATTTTTATACAGCCCATCACGACCAGCAGGCCTTATTGGAGAAATTAGAAAGCGTCTATCGAGAACTGGAAGACGAGAAAGGAAGTCTCGACCGATTACGAAGAGAGTCGACGGTACGTTCTGAACAAGACCGAAACAATATGAATCAGCTCCGAGATGAGTTAAATCGCCTCCGAACGAGATTGGATGAAACCAAACTGAAAGCGGACGAAGAGAGATTAAAACTTGAACTGAGGATCGAAGAAATTTCGAAAGAGCGTGAGAATGTGCAGCGAGAATCAGAAGAGCTTCAGGTACAACTACAAATGGCCGAGGATAAAGTTGATATTCTTCAAAACCAATTCCAAGAAACAAGCAGAAAACTGAAAGAATGTAAGTTTTCAAACTGCTTTGTTACGCTATCATCGAGTACGTATTCTTACCGGCTTATAACAATTACATTGCAGCTGAAAACACAACTGAAACATTACGGAAAGAACTGATTGATGTTCGTCGGCAGTTAGCGGATTCCAAATTTGAAAAGGAGAAATACAATAGCAGTAACAAAGATTTGCGAGAACACGTAAAACGTATCGAGGGCGATAAGCGAGAACAGGGAAGAGGCTTGGAAGAGGCACATCAAAAGATTGCAGGTTTCGAAATAAAGCATGATTCAGTTATTACACTTTTAATTTTCAACGGTTTTTTAAATATCGTCTTAATAAAATCATTTTATATTATAAACTTTTGGCAGCCTTGGAAGATGTCAAGACTGCTCTTGATTCTGAGAGAACACGGCTACAAACTCAACTGAGGGACATGGAACGCGAATCGTTACAACTTCAGCAACAGCTTCGTTTCACTCAAGATGAACTACAAAAGGCTCATTCTTCTAATTCACAAGCTCAAAATGAAGAAAAAGAACTGCAAGCCAGATTAGCAAATGAAACCGAAGAAAGAGAACGTCTGCAATTGCAATTACATCAAATGAAGAAACAGGTATAACAGTTTCTGACAAACTAGAGATACTCTTTCAATGAAATGTTCAATTTAAACATCAATTTTCAGGTGGTCGATTTGGACAACAGTTTGGAAGTTACACGCCAAGAACTTGGAAGATTACGGGCACGTGCGGACGAGGAGGATGAACGATGGAGAGCTAGAGAACAAGAATTACTCGTGAGACTCGAGGATAGTCGATGTCGCGAAAGAAAATTGGAGGATCAAAAGCATAATTTGGAAGTGTGTCTCGCGGATGCATCTCAGCAAATTCAGGAGCTCAAGGTTTGGAATAAATATTTATATATAGTTTACGAATTTTAAATCGATATTATGCTTTTATCCTAACTCTAACATTCGTAATTCAGGCACGCCTCGGGGGATCCGAGGGTAGAGTCAGAGCTCTGGATGCTCAACTATCACAATTAGAAGTCGCCAAGAAAGAGGTAGAGCAAAAGTTAAGTAGCGTGGGGTCGACACTTCGTCGAATCGCGGGTATTCAGTTGGATGGTAGTGTTAATATACCATTCAAGTTAATGAGTCCTTCCAGAAGGTGGAGTCCGGCTCGAGGTACGCGTTCATCACCTTACATATTCTACTACTCTAATAAGTTATTAAAATTTAATTCATTTGAATTACAGTTCATCATGATCATTGTGAAGCTGGACGTGATATTGTATTAGACGTTGATCCAGAAGCTGTAAGAAAAGGTGTCCGATGTTTAATGCAACAGGTTGCTCAGATCGAGCGGGAGAGAGTAAGATTTAAGCACAAAGCTATATTATTTTATTTTCATTACGATACCAGGTTTTTCATGTCTGGTATTTATTTACAGGATGACTATAAAACCGAACTCAGTAATTTACGCAAACAACTTGCGGAGGCGCACGAGAATCAAACTAAAACAGAATCGAAACTAACCAGCGTGCTATCAAACCTGAGAATTCTTCAGGATGAAAAGAATGTTTTAGACTCTAAATTGACCCAAAAGCAAGCAGCTTTCCAAGCGCAGGTACAGACTATAACATATCGATACATAAAATAATCATCTCTTGTATCGCTAATAATTTTATTCCAATTTTAAGGCCGAAGCGTTACAACAGAAGTCTGGAGAAACTGAGCATATGAGAGAGAAAATAACGACGCTTGAATTGACCATTAGTAGCGAATCAGAAGGACGAGAGCAATCTAAAGTGAGTATTCTCCATTCTGTCGTGAAGAGAAACTAAACTTTTTATATTTTCTTAACGCTTTACAATTTTACAGGACAAAAGTGAGAAAATGAAGCAAGCAATTAATAGACTGGAAAACGAGAAGAGAAGTCTTCAGGAAGAACTCTCAAGAAACGAGTCTCGAGCGACGAAGCTGGAGTTACAACGTATGTCCCTCGAAGGAGATCTTCAACGTTTGCAAATGATACTACAAGAGAAAGATGCAAATATACAGGTCGATAATTTTTTATCAAAGTTTTATTTAATTCCTCCATATGTTTACTGCATCACACATACTAACGATTTTTTTTTTTGTATAGAAATTGCAAGATCGATCTGATACACAAACTAGAACCATGGTTAGTCTGGAAGAACGTTGTGCTTCATTGAAGTCCACAATAGAACAATTGAACCTTGCCTTAGAAAGAGGTTCTTCGGGTGAAAGCGAGCTTAGGAGTGAAATTAATGTACTGCAACGAGCTTTAATGGAGAACAATACAACCCTGCAGAGTCAATACGAGAAGGTCAAACAGGTAGATAATTAAAAATATGGACCAAAATGTTTAAATGCCTAATAACACCGACTTTGCCTCGTAGCTTCAGAAGCAGCTTTCAAACGCTGAAAACGATCGCCGTCTTTTGTCGGAACGATTGGAAACCTCCCAGCAAACTGTAATGGACTTGCGTCACACGAATCAAACGTTGAACGATCAATTATCTCGTTTCCAAACGGATTTAGCAAATAACGAAGTTCAACGATCCGGTTTGGAGGCTCAATTAAGACTAGCTACTAACTGGCCACAGGAAGGAAGTACCAACAAAGAGGAGGAATTGATCAGACAGTTGCAATCCGCGCAAAGAGAAAAGAGCGAATTGAAAGGCAAAATGGACACTTTGTACGATAAGGTAACGATTTGTTAACACTTTCATGTTTACAAATATCTAAAGCTAGTAAACCCACATCTGATAGTCAAAGATCAAAGGAATATGAATTCAATTTCATTATGAATATGATCAAATGTGTATTAATTAATCTACAGGTAAAAATGCTTGAGTCGGATAAGCAAAATCTAGAACGTCAGGCTTCTTCGACAAGACCCAGCAGCATCCGCAGCAAGAGCTACGAGAGACCCGAAAAAGCGCAAGCGGAACTAGCCGGGTCCGCTGTCACGATTGAATGTTTCGAACAAGAGAACAAAGAACTTCGATTGAAAATCCGTAGATTGGAGGCGCAATTGGCCGAGAAGGAAGCCGAACTAGCGCGATGCAAAGCGACGCATATTCATCCTCATATGCATTCTCATCCACACTCGCATTCACATTCGCATTCTCATTCTTTATTGGATCTGACCAGTCGGGACAGAAGTGGAGAAGTGGAAAGACTTCGAGCTGCTCAGCTGCAAGCGGAGAAACTCTTGGAAGCCAGAGAACAGAGTCATCGTCAACAGGTGCTCCGACTTGAAAATCAGGTAGAATGAAGAATGATTTGGAGAAATATAATAATTAACTTTGCATATTACAATTTAACTACTAACGATGAAAAAGAAGAGTACTTAAACATAGGAAGTACTTTAAATGCTAAAAGCGTATATCTCCTAAATTGCTTAGCATTCGTTCCTCCATAACCATACATCACTTTTAATACTCGAACTATGTAGTAAATAATGATGTATTATTTTGCAGATTCAGTTACTCAGGGAACAACTCAATCAAGAAATCAAACGTCGTCAACTATACGTGTTGCGCAGCTCTCGAGCTGGCAAAGAGATGCAGCAGTTACGACAAGCGTTAGGCGATTCATTGAGAACCGTTTCACAAGATCCATCTCTGGATGCTATGTTACTGGAACATGAAGCTAGAAAATTGGATTGTACCCTCGCTACCAGTACCACCAGTTTGCCACCATCATTGGCATTGCCTCCTCCGTCATGTTACGATAGACGGTCGCCAACTCCAGTTCATTTGAAATAGGTCTAAGAGTTGATTCAAAACAAACATCTGAAAAGGTACCGCAAATTGGTACTTGCCATTTGTATGCAAATCTCTAATTGTTACAAACAAGAGTTCGAGATATCTCTTATGATACGTGGAGTTACGTATAAAATCAAGACAAAATTCTCAATCCTATTTCGATGGTTTCTTGGTTCGGATGATTTTTATTACTTTTGGCCCGTCATTGGTATTTGATTTATATTCTACCTTAAATTCCCAATTTCAAAATTTGGAGTATTTGTTCATACATCCACAAGATTTTTGTTGAAATGTAATCAACACAGACGAATGGTTTATGCTTTAGAAAATATTGTACGCTATCACTCGAATCCTTTGTGTTGTTATTTATTATTTATTGTTAAAGAGCCATTTGATGTATAGAGACAAAGACTACACTCTCCATGCAGAAATCGCGATAGAAGATTGAGAAAAAGTATTGAAAACATGTTTGTAGTTATTTAACTCCAATATTTATGGCACGAGTGACATACACAGTACTTATGAAATGCTGCAGTATTTTTTAGAATTATTTTCAACTATTTTATGTTTTTTGACATGGAGTGAAAATAGCAAAATAATTTTTTTTAGAGAATGTTGATGAACTATGTGAAGTTCCAATGAGAAACGATATAACTGTAGCCTTTACATAATCCGTCCATATTTAATCTGAAAATTATCTGTTAACCAGTCGTATACAACTGGCTAAAATCGGCATGGATTTTAATTTTAGGCCTTCCAAAAGTCCTTATCATTAGAAATGTTTCGTAATGTAGTCTTACATATGATTCGTATAATGGAGAGCACTTGCAAAGCATATCATAACAGTAAATGCTATGTTTAGTCTCGACACGAGACCAAACTTTATCGTCAAGTGTGAGAAATTTAGAGAAAAGCTTTCGATTAACCACGCTAGAGCCAGGCATTGAAATCAATGCATCACTGAAGGTAGATAAGAAATAAACCAATAGGTGAATAGGAAAGAGCAATATACACGGCAGAGTGGATTGTGTCAATTCTCTATAATTGAGAATATAGACATCCAGTCCAGCCGCGTAATAAATTTATATACCTATGCTGTCCAGCCTACGGATCATAAATGATGAAACTACATGCAAGTCTCATTTATATTACAAAATTTAGTTTTAAAGTTTCTTCGTCAAGCACTTACGTAATACAGTGCTCTTTGTGTAAAAGAGTATTATACTGTTGTAAGATTCTAGAGAAAATTGTCCTATACAGGATTTTTAGAACTTTTGAGACATTTTGCCATTGACCTACCGGCAATACGAAAACGTACATAAAGCACAATTATCGTTTCAAACGCGTTTTCTGATTACAGGTAGTAAACTTTTAAAAGAATTTTTTAATTGATTTACAAAAATTATATATACACACATTCACTGCGACGCGTATACACTTGTGTTCATTGTTCCTCAACCATTCCTATAATTGAATGGTCAAGAACAAAAATAAAAAGTTCGACTACCTTTCGCGAATATTTCTCAGCGGTTTACTACGGTAAGCGTACTATACAAACGGGAATAAGTAGAAACGGTAGATTCGATGAATGACTACAGAATGTCCCAATAGGCAATATTTTAATTTGAATGTACATCACACAATATCGCCGTTTTTGTCTGTAATAATTATTTCTCCCCGATTCGTTTTTACTAGAAAGTAACCATTGTACTAGTCAAGCGATCCTATCGAACTATTTTTAATTAAGTCTCACATGGGTTCAATGTGTAATGTAAAACATCAATGTGCAAAATAAAAACGACGTCGCGATCATTCGTGTGTCAATAATAAACCTCTTCTTCCATGACAGGTTCAAAATATACATGCAAAACCGAAGACTTTTTCGTTCTCGACCCACTCCAGATGCAGAATTGTTTTAAACTGAAAGTCTTCGTAATGAAAGGAAAAGGTAAGAACACGACTTAACGGAAGAGAAAACAAAGCCTCACGAATATTGTTTTCGACTTTGAATATGGCATGACGTCGTAGGTGTTTACAGAGATGCAATTTTCTTCAGATACCCTGTATCTCCCCTGAAAAAAAATCACAGCCACTAGCTCGAGAGATCAATTTAAGCAAAACAACCTTCCCCACCAAGCTGAAAAAGTGATGAACTTCACACAAAAACTTCAAACCCTGTATCTCCTCCGAAAAAAATTGCAGCCACTAGCTCGAGAGATCAATTTAAACGGAACAAC